AACGAAATAAACGAACACGTTCTGCACGAAATCAGAGCTTAGGCCACACTGCAAAAATAATACTCTCACCGCTTAACATTCCACACAGCCTCAATGATGTCATCAACATAGTCGCTACCGACATGCTGTCAGAGATATGTGAGAAACCGTTTACGACTAGGTTAACAAAGTTCGATTTGATTCCTGTAAAAATACAAAACAGCATGCGTAAGTATGCTAGACTACTCTACAGGTTTGGTGACTTTTATCCACTCATTCCACTCAGACATACTTGTGAGTCCATCGAACAAGAACAGATATCTTAATCAGTGATACAAAGTCATTAGTAAAACTAGTGAAATTACGAAGTGATAACAGCAGGATGGTCATCTCTAGTGTGTTACTAGATGAAGAATACCTCTGAAAAGACGTGAAGGAGATATGCGAGTTTTTCAACCCCCACTTTGTCAGCTATTTTTCCAATGAATTTGCAATAAGCACTGCTGATGCTCAGCAGATATGAAAGTGAAGACATATGAGAGCCACCCTTGTCTGTGGGACAGCACTCTATTGCTAAGGCTCCTGGGTCTGAATGATTTCCGCAAAATAAATCAATAACTAAAAAATAATAGAGGTTGAAAACTGCCAAAGAGCCGGAGTTTAAATATAGACTCTCTGAATGCGGATACATGGTATGAGTTCGCAGCTTCGGAAAAACAGAAGATTTTATTAATCCCCCTATTTTCTTTTGCTTATTTCATGAACTTTAATTTCTGGGTTTAACTCCTTTTCCAGAAAATATGCTTATCATCACCCTAAACGTGTTGGTAAAAGTATCCCTTTTTCACTTAAACTAATCGTTGGTAAGAAAGACTGTAGAATTCCATTACCAATACGCATCAGTAAAATAATAAAAAAGAAAAACAATGGACCCCGTTTGTTTGAATTATTAACACTAATTAGATACTTTTGCACCTCTCTCGCGGTTTTCTTGTGTCTTCTTCTCTTTTCAAAAGCATTACGTTCAACAGTCATTGAAACAGTAATGCTATCATCTACGTTAATGTTACTCAAATGGAGTGTTTTGATCAAGAGAACTTACACTATGCAGTTATTCAGGATATTGCTAGTACGCCTGATGAATTACGGGACCACCTTCGTCATCAAATCTGTTGACAGTTTCAAGGTTGGTCTTATGTATAACTGCGAACGTCACTATTATAGAGTACTTACCGGTGACTTTGAGATTTTATAGATTTTTGAACATTCATTCACTGATAATTATTGTTCATTTTGCATCTGTCATGTTTCACTTCAGCACCTGTACCATAATGCTAATTTCCTCCTACTCCTTTGGTAATCACTTAAAATTCCTGTGTGAAATTGATGTGCAAAAGTATCTTCTTCGCTTAAAATTTAGTTTTGACGCTGTATCTTATAACTTATTCGATCGAAAGCAGATTTCAAAAATTATCCTTCCATGTATTTGTACTTTTTTCATTGTTTCACTCATATAAACCAGTGTTCAATCCAAACTTAGACTAACAAATCATATTATATATTCTATCAGTTCTAATCAGTGTACATTTGTTCATGCCTATAAAAGTGGCTTGTTTCTATTCCAGAAATAAATTATTATCATTAATTCTACCACCTTTCTTTTCACTTTACTAAATAGACTACGAATTTATTTGCTGTAGTACCAAACACTCCTATCACTCACACCATTCGAAAACCTTTAATTTTTTAGCTCCAGTTAATGCATATACATATATGTATTAAGATAATGCTGCTGAGGATGTCCTCACTTATGTTTGTGTCCGGTGACCTAACGGGAAGCACTTGTTACGTAAACCATTAACATGCAATATACTTTATGACTGGTAAAGGCAGAAAGCAATGCAGCCAGAGACATTACAATAAAAATCCCAGAGCCTTACTTGAAAAAGGAAGGAGGGTGGCGCATGTTGATCAGCAGACAAGGTCATAGTCATAAATGCGAATCACTTCAATCTGTAGAAAAGCAATAAACACCTTGATAGCTCGAGACATAAATTTCAGTTTAAATCCTAGCCTTAAAATACAATAATTGTTTAGATCTAGGCAAAAATAATGCTCCTGAGATTACCGTCTGCAAATTTGCATAGCTTTGTATCAGAATGTAATCCAGTGCGCACTTCACATACTGGTGAGAAATCTTATGAGTAAGCATGTCCCATGTATGCAACTTTTTCGGATCTTTTAAGACACTAATGACTAAATTATCGCTTGTATGCCTAATAACAATTTTTACTTGAGCAACGTTATATTCTGATAAATCTTAACTGTTCCAGTTACAGAGGAGCTGCTCTCTTCAGTCAAATTTCTTGCCTCCGTAAATTCCGGTTGTGCTGAAGCAAATGGCAAGACTTTGTTGGAGGAAAGTTATATTTCAATCAAGGCATCATGGTTTTGATTTTAAAACTGATATAGTTAGCAATGTGTATCACAAACGCACATTATCATTCTGGGGACTACATAGCTGATTCTTGTATATCTTTTGTAAATGCATTTTTAACTACATGTTACCTTTGCTAACGTTTTCTCCAGCTATTCGGCTTCTCAGAACTGTTTTCTCCCAGAAATAGCTTATGATCACGCGTAGACATGACACTTACGTAGATATCGTTTGTTCATTGGTTAAGTACAGTTCTAGGTAACCAATGAGTTGCGTTCCATGGATGCTTATGAACTTATTTTTAGTTTGTTTTGACTATATGTAACACTCACGATTGATTCGTGACTGCTGGCTCTTTAGCCTGACCCACCCAGCCTGGTGTCTGGGTTAACGAGACTTACAGGGTCTTGTACTGAAAGTGGATTTCCATAACATAGTCTTCATAGTTGACACATGGTATCAAAAGAATGGACACGCATGTTTCTGGTGATGACATAATAAGGTTGAAAAGAGTAGAATTCAGCCCAGGCTTTACATTTGAGAGGTGGGCGTGTGATGCTGTTTGGTTAACACGATGTAATGAACACATGAAGACCGTCCATGTCTACTGGAAGACAACTGTTTTTCTGAGCCTCGTCAGTATGAATGAATTCTTGGTAGAGAAAATTTTATAGCAGATCTGCAAGTTGGAATTTACACAGTTCGAGCAGGTGAAATTCCGCCACAATTTCCATGAGAAACCAAAATTATTCAAATCACAATGTGTGTCCGCTTGGTGCCATAAAAAGCAGTCAGGAAGCTACGTGTGCCGCTGTCTTCAATGGGATGAAAATTACCCAAACGTCGGATGGCGGTTTCGTCCCTTTTGGGGTGACACTCATCACCCCAGTACACGGCCTCGCTCATCTCAGATAGCCGAACTAGTTCGCACCACCTGATTTTTGTCTGCATGCGTGAAATTGTAATACCCAATATGACCTCGCAAATTGACTTGCAACACCTAACTGTGTAGGTCAGAAAAGAGATGTAGATATAAACAACATTTCGTTTTGTTTCTGCATGACTTCCGCAATCTGATCTTCGTATCCAACTTCTTTCACGTAGCCACTCATTTTGGTGGTTCCAAATACCTTGGAACTGCGACCTTTATAAAACTACTATAAATTTTAACTGTTGGTTGGCGTCGCGTATTATAAAATTTCGGAATATAAAAATCCATCTAGCAAAAACACTGAAAAAAGTGGCAGGAGTGGACTCCGAATCTCCAAGGGACTACTGGCACCTGCTAGCAAGCATGGCAAAGTGACACAGATTATTCGAAACTCGAGGCAGTTTGAGGTTACCGAACTTCGAAAGGATGACAAGCAGTCTAGAGCTGAACCTAATTCCGGAGTTGTTCGATCAAGCTGTCTCGTCTTGTTTAACCTACCAGTGAGCTGTCACAGTCTGTTTGAACAAAGGGGACCGTTCGATCGCTAACAATTGTCTGATAATTGCATTAAACCAGGGGTTGAAATCAAGTCACTAATGCAGCGTAGACTGTATTGGGATGCTGAGGCAGCTTAAGGTAAGCCAGCCCCATGAAGGGTGATATTGAGCTCTGCGAAGACTTTGAGAGGTATTATTACCGTCACAAGTACCAACTATAGACAGGAGCCCTAACACAAAGACGAGACCTAGTACACCATGAGCAGACAGGTGAATGGCGAGGCAATCAAGAGGACTAGCGCCATGCATGGTCATGTACGGTGTTTCAGAGCCTGAAACTGGTACTGCTTACAAAAACACATGCATGATATACAGCTGTGGAGATGACTCTCATCTCAGACGCCTCCTTGTGCTTCCCGGTTAATCTCGATTTACGGACTACCTCGTCCTGCTCATCTCAAACTGATCAGCCCATCACAAATACTAGCTTTCAAATTCAGCACTCAGGAGTAGTTGGCGGCACTGCTTCAACAGTTATCTGAAACCAGGGGTAAAGTTGGTGGACATATCCAACACCTAGAAGTCCAACCACTGACCCTAAGAAGGTGGCGAACTGAGGTCATAGTATGTCCCCATGCCTTAGTAACACTACAGCGGTGCAACATTCAGAAGGATAACTATTGTCACTTAGGTGTCTTATTGACCTCCTAGACTCCTTATGGTGTTATTTCACGGAAGGCAACACCAAAGATTTATTGGGTGGCATCTATTGCTCACTTTCGTGTGAAGAAGAAAGCAACCGACCATTGTTCAGCACCATCCCAGGGATACAGAACTTTGGGTATAACTACACTGATACAGCTGGAGACTTCAGTTTTTCATCCCTTAACCTTGGTTTGTGGTGTGCTCGAAGGGAATTCGGTCGAAACCTGCCACACACCATTGGATATGCAGGATTGACTAAGAAATTTAGAGACGATACTATGTGGGAATCTAGTGCAAAGAAAAACTGTTTCCATGTAGGCTGAATAGAAACAGCTTACGATACACTTGACCGTAAAGCTGACATCGGATATTGAAACGTTGAATTCCTGTGAAGGCCAGTTGGTGACTTTGTTGTTTGACGTCGATTTGAGCTTCACGTGTAGCGTTCGGAATGACTCGTAAAGGCACTGCTAAGTTAGATGAACTTCGTAAGATCGAGAACCAAATTCAAGATTTTTGGGAATCACATAAGATATTTGAAACGGACGCTCCTTCAAATAAAAGTGAAAAGTACGTTTGTAGGTTTCTGAATCTAACAATACAGTACCGAGAAATTCTTCGTTACTTTCCCTTATCCCTATATGAATGGAAGGTTACATTTGGGTCATACATTTTCCTTATCTAAGTGTGAGGTATGCCTTTTAGTTTGTAAAAGTCTGTGAAGTTTTCAGTAGGTTATGAGCGCTTGAAAGGGAAATCATCACTTTGGCCTTTTGGTCTTCATTGTACTGGTACACCTATCTTAGCGTCAGCTGATAAATTGGCTCGGGAATGTGAGGAGTTTGGATGTCCCCCTGTCTTTCCACTTGAAACCTCCGATGGTTCTGCAGAGACTGAAGTACAGGTAAAATGACTTTATGAGTAACTTCTCAGGCGTCTGGTCAAGGAAAAAGTAAAAAGAGCAAAGCTGTTGCCAAAACTGGCAGTGTAAAATACCAGTGGCAAATAATGCAAAGCCTTGGGTTAAGTGATGCTGAAATAGTCAGATTCAAGGAACCTAGACATTGGTTATCTTACTTCCCATCCATGGCAATCAAAGATCTACAAAAATTGGGTGTTAAGGTAAGCGTCAAATATTTCTTCCAGTTCGTATCTGTAATTGTATACTATAGACTTATATATTATTCTCGTCTTCGACTTTTTGCACGTGCCATTGCATTTTGTGGGAAATAAATGCCCACATCTGATAATGAAATGGCCAACAACAGGAACACCACCAGACGTACTTCATAGTTGAGTTGTTGACATAGCAAGTCCCTGTGAAATTAGGTAGTTCAGAAATGTGTCATGTATGCCAAGTTGTGTACTATGTTATGAATGAGACTTATTTAGACAAAGAGGTGTTTGACTGGTGATTAAATTTTCTGAGGTGTTTAGAGACCTATATTCAAAATCTTGGAATACAGTCCGTGACAATTTCGATCTTTTTTAAACTAATTTATATTTTTCTTCGTTATTCACATTGTTCTTTCACTATAGTTTAGTTAGAACTGGCCTTCTTATATTTCCTGTCTTGTAAACAGGTATTTTTCATTATACACTTTCGTTTTAAAAATACGAAGCGATTAAAAAATAACCCGTGTTTCAAACTGTTATCAAGAGAGAACTTAATTTCCACTTGTGAATGAAGAAACTAAAGTTCTCTGTTGTTGTCTAAATAATCGCCTGTGTAAGGTTATTCCTCAAACCATTTTGATTAAGCAGCACAGTCATACAGGAGTTGGGGGATATTGATAATGAAGATACATTTACAGACACTTCTATTTGCCATTGTTACACTCCTTAATAGAACAAAAAGTAAATAAACAAAACTGAAGTGATATTAAAATAAATAATTAAGGGAAAACAAATAAACGTCACACAGTTAAACTAAGTAAATCAGCGACCAATCTACTCGATTTTGGGTGCGTCGGTGACAGCGGTTAGGACTTTGACCGACCATGAACATTTTCCGGGGTTCTATTCCAAGCCGACGCATACCTGATATCGATTGGTCGGCCCGCAAAATTAGGGCTACCGATATCACATGCAGAAAATTACATGTACCAATAATACGGCGTGGAATCAAGCTATAGTCAGAAGAAATAAAATGTTTAACGGAAGCCAGAATGTATACACTGATGAAAGTAGGTCGTACCTTTTTCATCCCCACTAGGACTGTCACCTGAGTCTTCACTAGAATCTCTGTGGCTTTCTGTGTGAGTGAAGTCATCCGCAAGGGGAATAACAAACTCAGAGGGCCTTGACAATGACCATTCAAACCCGAACTTATTTTCCAAAGTGAAAAGTCACCACTACTCCAATGTTGTTCACCCGAGGTAAGTATATTACTATCGTTACATTTAAGTTTAGTTAGCTGTACGTCTTGGTCCTTGGAAGGCTATTCAACAGTTTTTAAACTCCATCAATATGCAACCAATGTTTCTAAGATAACAAGGCATCACCATTTCCATATGCTTTCCTAGCCACTACTTGAGAATATGAATTGTCGGACATATTATAACATGAAGTAGTTATTCTGCAGCATATTACCTAAACCTCAATACCCAACGATCCGACTGTTTCTGTTGTTGGTTTCCTATTGCCAACTTCCTGATCACTTGATTTGTAGTATTTCGATAAATTGTACTGTCAGATGTTGAAGACTGCTAACTTAAAAATGTGATGAATGGTAGTAAAATAAGCTTCATAATATTTTGCTTCAGGTCGATTGGAGAAGATCTTTTATCACAACAGATGTCAATCCATATTATGACTCTTTTGTTCGGTGGCAGTTTTTGACTCTTAAGAAACAAAAAAGAATCCAGTATGGTAAACGGTACACGATATTCTCCGCTAAAGATAATCAGCCGTGTATGGATCATGAACGGACTGTTGGTGAAGTAAGATACTTCATATAACTTGACGTATATTTTCTTCTAGGGTGTGGTTCCTCAAGAGTACACTTTAATCAAATTGCAGATTGTAGTAGATTTCCCTGCACAATTCAGGTAAGCAGGTTTATATATATATATACATATATATATGTTTTATTCCACGCAAATATTTTACTTTTGTGCAGTCGCATCAATATTTGACTATAAACCATAATTGTTTACGTATATACACCTGTACTACTTAAGACACATTTTTCATTGCAAAAAGTATACATCAATAGCAACATTAAAAAGTTAGGGGTTAATGGTTAGTATTTATGTGTATATGTTTGGTTCGTAAATTAATCTCCGGTTGATTAACATAAATATCTATGTACAGATAATGAATTGTTCGTATTAGTATGAATTCACAAACATGGCGAATTTTCCACCATTTTCATTTTAAAAAGTCAGATGCATGGCTAATAATAGTTGAGTGGTCTTATTACACTATTCTTACTCACATTCCATTTATGTTTTGAGGTTGTAGTCATATTTAATAGTGTCATAGTATATTCTAAAAATCAGCCATTAGGAATTGCCTGGGTTCAGCCTCGATTAGACAGTAATATACGTAATTGTACGTAATGACGAGAGTTATTTTAGAACGCAATACGAGAGGCATAGTTAGTAGTAGTGTCAGGCATCATTGGAGAGAAAAGTGAACAAAATTATGAAAAATGGCCCTATTAATATGTCTGCTACCCGGGGAGTGATTAGGAGCCAATTTGACGCTGCTTACTTAGTCGTGTTACGGTTAATGTAAACAATGACGTTCAATAAATATTAATTAAAATGAAAACCTCTACGTGTTTCTTATTAAAAAGGGAGTGAAATGCATTTCCCTATTTTATGCTTTAGTGATATACTAACCGACTTTTGGAAGGTGGGTATTGTCGCTGTTATGGTATGAGATACAGGAATTGATTCATTATGTGAACAAGTTATTTTTAGTTGTACCAGGTGACTGGGTTACCTAATTCGTCATTGCTGACAGTAGACATTGTTAGCAGTAATGACGACCTGGGTAACGTCACATCAGAATCAGGAAGTCAGAAATGAATATGGCATTCATTTCAGGTCCTAGGTTCATAAGCCTTCATTGTCAGCTTGCATATCTAACGTTTTTTCCCTGGAATTTTGAATTGATTCAGGCACAGATAAGTAGGCAGTTTATCCTGCGATTTCTTAGGGTTCGGGGACTGTCCCAGGGTAACTCTTATGGATCTATTCTGATCTTTTGGAAGTTATCAAGAATGTTCTACGAAGTGTTGTGAAGGGGATTAAGGACAGTTATCGCTCTGCTTCATGGGTTGAATTACAAAGATAACATATTTTACGGTTTCTTAATCTACCAGTCATTGAACATCGACTTCAATTCAAAATTCCTGCATATTACTTCGTTAATAATCACATTTCAATTCAACTACTTCTGCTAAGTTAGCTGCTTGTGACTGCGAATATGTGTCGGCACACTGTGAGAATAGCGTCCCTGGGTCACCGCTATGTATTATCTTAAAAATAAGCATGGAATCAATAAGCACCTAAAGGTGTTGGCACATTTCAGGTTTTAGGGTGTTCTTTGAAACCTACTCTTGCATTTTAACATAACAATAGCTTTGGGAATGGCTTTATATTTAAACTATGTACTTACAATGATTTCGTTCACTCTGATGCATGTTGAAGATAATGTGCTACCCGTTAAAGTTAATCTTATTTTGAATTGTTACGTTTAATATTTCCGTTGTATTTATTTAAATGACAGATATAAAGCTCACTATTATATTTTAAAACTGAAACTTATCCCCTCTTTTTCTAATACTTCCAAATACAAATGTTTTGTGTTTCACGCAGTTTATATTTACACGATATTTACTTATAGATTGTCTTCTTTTCGGTCTCTCATTTCGATATTCTGTTTTATAGTTTTATGAACCAGTTGAAAGAACCCGTCTACCTTGTGGCAGCAACTTTACGTCCTGAAACAATGTTTGGACAGACAAACTGTTGGGTTCATCCCGAAATAGATTATGTCGGAGTAAAGAGCCTACGGGAATCTTGCATCTTAATTTGCACTCAACGAGCTGCTCAGAATATGGCTTATCAGGTTTGTTAATTTAAATGTTTTGTCATGCTTTGAACGCTAATCTCTTTTAGGAAAATCGGTAAATGAAGTTGGTACCATTATCTAATGAATGTCGGTATACCTACCAAACAACTTGACTAAAAATATTTTAAGGCATTTTTTGTGAAACGAGAAACTAGTTGAAATAAACAATAAAGTCAACAAATTTGCACGTAGTTGGGCAGAAATGCACCAGTTGAGCTAAGCAGGCTAAGTAAGCGAATGTACCTTTTCAGTAAATCCACGAAGAAATAGGGGTTTGATTCGGGTAACCTGTTTCTTTTCTTTGGAGAATATTTCTCAACTTCTGTCTACCCATTAATTGTTACACTATATCTTACCGATGTTTTATAGAAATGGTACGTGGTTGTGTAAGCCAGAAAGCAATTTAAGTTGTATATATTCAAATGAGTTGACGCCTAAGTAGTTTTAACATTGTGTCAGTTAGAACAGGAGGAGGAGACATATTATAAGTCATTGTTTAAGTGATCTGGAAATCAGACATTTGGCTCTAGCTGGATTAAAGACCACATCATTGAATTCTCACTGGTTCATGCTATCAAGCCAGAACATATCTTGAACTAGTAATTATCTGGCCAGATAAAGTAAATACATAGTCAATTATATTAGCTGGTGATGTTGCCTTTTTTATGGAATAACAAATCTTCGCCTTCTTAGTTAGTCTTCTGTATCTTTCTCAGTGTGGGAATAGTATTCGAGTGAGCAGTCGTATATTGTTGTCTCGTCGAAGTAACGGTAAGAACAAACCCGAATCTAGTGTCATTTCAATCACAATAGTGTCTGAAAAATAAGTCTAGACAAAGGCAAGATTTTTTTCGGAGAATGACACTGATTTCAGCGCGATTTGTTTTCTTTACAAAAAAGTTTTTTCATGGCCTAATTTATGAGTGAATTTGCTTTCTGTTTCAGGGTATTCTAGATCCTTCACGTCCAGGACATATTGATGTAGTCGCAAATTTCAAGGGTGTTGATCTCCTTGGTTTGAAAGTTAAAGCTCCACTATCAACATATGATAGTGGAGTATACGTTCTACCCATGATGTCGATTCGGTCGACTAAAGGAACCGGAGTTGTAACCAGTGTTCCTAGTGATTCACCAGACGATTGGGTTGCATTACGGGATTTGAAGAAAAAGCCTGTAAGTCTCACCTGAAATTTAAATCCTTTTTTCTCTTCTTCTTAGCTTTGTGAATAAAGAGGACTATGAAACACTCCACATTTGTCGAAGTTTTACTTGTATCTGAACAGTCTTCACTTAGACCTGTCATTAAATCTTTACTTTGCGTTAAATGTCTGAATTTGTTGCATGGGTATAGTAATCTCTATTAAGTTCATCTCAACCGATGTCTTCCTTGGTATTGGACTTTGTATTAATGGAATTCAAAGTAATCCATGTACTATGCTTCTATTAAATTAATTCTACACAAGGTTTATCTCAGAGTTCCATGAGATGCTTTGATGCATATACATGTCTCGAATTGATATTTTCGAGAAAATTAGTTTATATATCAAAATTTTTTAATGTGTGGAGTTGTAAGTCATTGATTTAGGTCTCTTAATCAGTAAGCATAATGATGGCTGTTGCTCGGTCTGCTTATCATCTTTTTAGTGCGGTGATTTCTCAAGTTTTAATGCATAAGATTTAACTTATTGTTATTTATCAACGTTCATAATACTATTAAGTGGTATGCTATAACTTTCTTAAATATTTGCTTCTGATTATGTAAGTTCTTGATAACGTCATTTTCATTCCCCCAACCCCACCCCACAGTTTATTTAATTTCTTTTTGTTTTGTATTTCACAGGCATTTCGTGAAAAGTACAACCTTCTTGAGTCAATGGTCTTACCATTTGAACCGGTTTGTTACTGTTTTTTTTACTTCTAAATACTTAATAATAATTCTAATCTTCATCTATAGGTTCCCATTATTGAGACACCAGATTTAGGCAATCTACCAGCTATTACAATAGTTGATCAATTGAAAATACAAAGTCAAAATGATCGAGACAAACTACAAGAAGCTAAGGAGAAAGTTTATCGTGTTGGCTTTTACGATGGAGTAGGTTTTGTCATATTATATGTTTTTCTTTATTGCCTTCTCCCCTTTAATTATTAGGTTATGCTGGTAGAAAAGTATAAAGGCATGAAAGTTAATACGGTCAAAAAGCTTATTCAAGATGAGTTAATTAAATCGGTAGGTTAAAAACAATGTGCTATTTTTTTTATTTGTATGTAGATTATTTGTATATAAAGTCGCATAAAATTAGTTAAAGTAACTATCCTTCACAGCATTTCATTTGATATTTATTTTTTAAAAATACGAACTTTCAGTTGTTTTAATTCCTTCACGTTCCCAGTGGAACACAGGGTTTCAAGCTAGAAGCTTGAAGTTTCGGTAGTAGTGGTGTTTATTTTTACAGGATGGGGTTTCTAACCTCATGCTCAACCTTCCTAACCTTTACCAGTCTTATTACTTGTTTAACGAGGTAAAGGAGTGCGTCGGCCGAGGGGTCGAACCTCGTACCATATGAGGAGTGGTTGGTGAGCGTTGTACCGCTGTGCCACCGACGCGAACCAGGGGATACTGGACAGCTGTTTCATCCTAGTTGGGGACCCATCCTCAGTACGCACTCGCTGGGTTCCGAACCCAAGGTCTTCAGGTTACAAGGCGAGCTCGTGGACCATTAAGTCACTGAGACCCGATCCAATGGCCAGCCCATGAATTCTGACTTCTGCCAATTCACAACATAGCGCGACCACCAGCGAATGTCCTCGGTGCGTATTTGTCCTCACACCCTACCCGCTGTACCATACTGGTCACGACTTCCCACTAGAACCCCATGTAATTACCCACCTGAATAGGGCCAGTCGCTAGTGAACATCTCGTTGAATTTCAAGTTTTGGTTTGTAGGGATTTGATCGATAGGTTACAGGATTTCGTCATGAGCTGACATCGGTTTGTTTAATTTTCCGACTTTGTTTCTTTTTTTCAATGGTTACAGAACTGGCATTGAGATTTCATCGAACACCACTCATACCATATATTTCTTGTTTATTTTATTTTGTGAATATTATAGCATAAATCTTATCAGGGATTTCTCAATTGTTTATAAATTTGTCTTTAGAATCAAGCAATAGTTTATTATGAACCAGAGAATTTGGTTATCACACGTGGTGGAGATGAAGCAGTGGTTGCTTTATGCGATCAATGGTACCTAGATTATGGATCTGAAGAATGGAAATCGGATGTTCGCCAGGCTATAACTAATTTATGTGCAACTGATGAAGTGAGTTTCTTTTTCGTTTGTTTATAAATTATAAGTACCATGTGACTCCTGTAATCATCGCTAGATATTCCCAAATTTGACCTATTGTGTTCAGTGTGTTTTAATGGTAAAATTCAGGCACAATTTTAAGGTATCACCTATAGTTTAGTGAACGTTTTGTGGCATATTTATGTGATTTTATTATCTACCACATTATTGCAAACTAAATGTTGCTTCAGTAATAAGAATTTAAGGGTCATTGATAAAAAAGTTCACTATTTTCGTGATCTCATGTGTCAAACACGCATTTTAGCAGATCAGAAGTTAACTTATCATTATTTATAGTTTTGGTATAATTGTAGGAGATCTCACACACTTTTTATGGTGCTTTGTTAAACTGTTTGTTCTATCCCATGATTGATAATTTGTCTTCACACCTCAAGCATTTTGTTTGAAATTAACTTTAATTTACTTATCATTTTTTCTTCCTTAGGTTAGACGTAATCTCTTTTCAACTGTTGATTGGTTGCATGAACATGCCTGTTCTCGTACCTATGGATTGGGTAGTCGTTTACCTTGGGATGAGAAATGGCTAATTGAATCGTTGTCTGATTCTACTATATATATGGCATATTATACTATTGTTCACTTGTTACATGGTGGATCCTTAGATGGTAGCAAACCTGGTCCTCTTGGAATTAAGTTAGTTGAATTCATTCTGTGTACTTTTATTGATTTCTTGCTTGAATTAATACACATGCATATAATGGTAGCACATTAGACATCAGAGTTCAAATGATATTGAAATGTGACTGTATTATTATTATTATTATTATTATTATTATTATTATTATTATTATTATATCCTTTAATTCCTACAGGAACATAGGGCTTCAGCCGTGCGTCTCCATTGCGTTCTGTTCTCTGCTAGAGTCTTCACCTGGCTCCAAGTCTGCCCACACGTTTTCATCTCCCCTTCACATGACCTCCTCCAAGTCACCCTTGCACTGACGACCAACTCGCCGCTTCCCTTTCGGGTTCCACTCGAGCGATGGCTTGTCTAGTGATGTCACTTGATGGTTTCCTCAGAGTATGTCCAATCCATCTCCATTTCCTCCTGCCTGTTTGTTTCACAATCGGTTCCTGGTTGGTTCGTATCTCCTCGAGACAAAAGAAATGTGACTGACTCACACAGATTTACTCATTGATATTGACTGCTTGTTAGTTGGAGTTTTCTTTGTAGTTTAACATATTCAAAATCTCTGTCACCCACCAATTTTGGTGATGATGTATAGGAAATATGTTGTTATTTTAAGTGTGGCTTGTGCAAAACGACGAGTTGGGCGTCCGAAAGTCACATAGATAAGATTGTATATGAAAGTTTATGGGCAATTTTGGAGCCAGGTAAAAAGGACTGCAGAAAACAGGATAAAATGCAGTCCTGAAGTCTTATGTTCCACTCAGAACCCTAGGGAATAATAATAATAAGGTGGCCTGTGGCATTAAATTAAAATGGTATAAAACAATTGAGCATTCAAGTAGAAATCAAGCATTGTGGTGGTATATAATTCTATTGAATGTTGCGTTCATTATATATTCCATATAGTGAAATGTTGATATCACTATGGTACATTTAACATGATCATATAAAGTATGCCATGCTCAAATCATCATTCAGTAACTTTATTGTGTAGTATGTCTAACAAAGGAGAACGTGTAGAATAAGTTATTCGTAGATCAGTAGTGTGGCGAGTGCTACTTATACTCGGATATAAGCAGTATATCAGTAAACGCATTCAGAAAAGTAACAATATGTTTTGGGCACTAGAAAAAAACAGTCGAAGAAGAGAATTGTCAGGAGAATGTTACAACACTGTGCAGAATCGAACAAACTATCGAATATGGTGATATTCGACCAATTTGCAAATTATGTGCATAGAAAGCATTGGAGATACGGCATACCAAATTTATGTGCCTACAATCAGTTTGTCCTAATAAACATTACCTTCGAGCCTCATCGGTCTTTACTTCTTTACAGTAGTACTTTCAGTTTTACTAAAACGTTACTTCTCTTTTAAATTTTTGTGCTTATGAAGTGGTATGACTTTAAACAATTGTTTATTGACAAATTCATTTAATTACCTTCTCTTTAGGTAAGCCGATCATTTAGTGAAAAGCTACTAATACAGGTCCTTTCCATAACAATAGACAGAATAGCTACTACATAATTAATCGTCAGTTCAAAGTGAATCATCTATAATACGATTTGTTCTACTTACAAAAAATACTCTAAACACCAGAGTTTCATAGAGAGTTTGTTATCATGTCTTTAATGAAGTTAACAACTGACAATGTAATATCTGTGCACAATCTTAAGATCTTGTGGTTTTGTTGAACAGAGTGGTAAACTCCTGAATAGTTCAGTGGTAACCACTCTGACTGCAGCACTGGATGATGCCGGTTCGAATCTCAGAGGGGTGGGACATGAGTTCCTTCGAGGTTGCAGATACGCCTTACTGACTGGTGAGTGAGTACCAGCTAGCACGAAACCTAAGTCCAAGGCTTCCTGCCGATTGCCTCCAACAAGATTTACATTGTTTTGCCTACTTTATGCACTATATTGATTTTCACTTTGCATCTTCTTTTATTTTCAAAGGCCAGAACATATGACACCAGAAGTTTGGGACTACATATTTTTGGGCGTCGGTAATCCAGAGGATTTGGTCAAGATGAAAATCCACTCTTCTCTAAGCGTACCACTTTTAAAACGACTACGTGAAGAATTTCTATTCTGGTATCCAGTTGACTTGAGAGTTAGTGGTAAAGATCTTGTTCCGAATCATCTAACCTACTATCTTTACAATCATACTGCTATATGGGCAAATCAACCAAATCTGTGGCCTAGGAGTATACGTGCCAATGGTCATCTACTACTGAATTCTAATAAAGTAATTTGAAGTTTGTTTTTGTTATGTGATACTGGAGTAGTTCAGTGTTTATGTCAATGCTTTTTAAAAAATAAGTTTTATTCCCAAAATTAGTCAGGTGTATTTCCCGATACTTAAGTAATAAAAGCAATCATTCTTTTTAGTTAAGGATTTTCTCCCTATTCTGTTTTTATTATTTCAATATTGAACAATAATGTATCTTCTGCATTAGAAATTAATGCTTCTTACCTTTTAACCGCGACTTTATCTCCTTAGTGTGGAGTATAGTACCTACTTTTTGAGTACTAAAAGGCGGTATTCAATGTTGTCTAGCTGTAATCACAGCATTATATGTCTAAACAAGCAGTAAAATACACATTTGTCTTTTAGCAGAACCATTCAAATAGGTAATTTATTATTTGTGAGTCGTCCTTATTTTGTAAACCTATAATGATGTACAAAGTTAGCTTCAGTAGTCTTCGGGCTGCTAACACAGAGCTGTATTGTCCTCCAAGCTATGAAACTCAATTGTTAATCAATTCTCACAGGCCTGTCAGTTTTGAACCTGCAGTGAAGCTAAAGTCTTACTCCTATTTCTCAATCACCTTCATTGGGATCCGTCTATTGCTATAGCTTACTCAGTCTAATTGTTAAGTAATCAGAAGTTGTACGGAATGCTCGAAAATTTTGCTAAATTAAATAATTTATTTACATCATTGGTATAAGAATAAAATTTGTGCACTGTGGTAGAGTATAATTCCATTATGGGTAAAATTTATTTTGATAAACTCCCACAGTGTTATACAGAAGTATTTACCGATGACGTTTCGAGCACAATTTATTGCTCATAATCATGTCATACTTCTGATTTCTAATTCGATTTTGACGCTGGAAATTCACAGTACTATTGAAGGAGTACGGAATACTTCTATGTGTACTTCACACCTAGAGCTTATATGTAATTCATGATTATTTTTTTGTTCAATAGGCTATCAACACCTTAGTACACATCGAATTTAAGTAAACGTATTACGTAGAACATAGTGAGTTTATTAGGTGACACTTTTCTTCTATCTGTTAAAGTTTCTGAATACAATTATGAGGCAACAGGTTTTATTATGCTGGACTTAATATCCCCTTTAATGAAACTAACAAATACTTGAAGTTTTCTAAAATTCCTTTACGTTCCCAGTGGAACACAGGGCTTCAAGCTAGAAGCTTGAAGTTTCGGTAGTAGTGGTGTTTATTTTTACAGGATGGGGTTGCCAGCCTCATGCCCAACCTTCCCAACCTTTACCAGTCTTATTACTTGCTTAACGAGGTAAAGGAGTTTGTCGGCCAGGGGATCGAACCCCGTACCACATGAGGAGTGGTTGGCGAGCGTTGTACCGCTGTACCACTAACGCAAATTATACGAAGTGCAGCTGTCTTAGTATGGTTGTGGTTTTTTTCTAATTTCGTGAATCTAATCACATGCAATAAAACTGTGTTGAGTAGTCGACCTGTAAACATGAGTGGTTCAAATGAATGACAATTTCTAGCTTTGTTTATATAACTGCTGACTAATTCTGCTACTCCTTGTCTTAGTGTTCTTCACTTATCCTTGTATAATACACTGTTATTTGAAATACATTCTCATTTTATTTCACAGATGTCGAAATCCACTGGCAATTTTCTCACATTGTCTGATGCAGTGGATAAGTATTCAGCTGATGGTAAGTAATTAATTTGACTGACTTATCTTTACTATTAATATTCATTCCTTGCGTTCCAAGTGGAACACTTGGATATATATATCTTCATTACACTCTGTCCTTTGCCGCTTGTTTTAGCAGGCCTCACGGCTTCCCATAACTTCCCCCTTCACGTGATCTCCATATCGTCTTCAGATAACCAACTCAGCGCCTTCTGTTTTGGTTTCACTCGAGGGGACTGGTGTGTAAACACGCTTAAAGGTCTTTTGGGCGAATTTTCGCAGCCCATCTCCATTTTCTTCCTGATGTTTGTTGGGTAATAGGTTGTCGGCTGGCTCGTTGCCAGAGTTCTTTGCTGCATATTCTTTCGGACCATGTGATCTTCAAATGGGGCGAAGGCAATGAAGAGTTCGCCCTTCTCATTCATTTCACCGAACATCTCTTGACACAAAATGAACTCTTTCCCTGTATTGTCTGCTTCCAATTCCGTTAGCATTCGTATCCTCCATCTTCATTTGGTCTGCGTTTTTTGTAGCATTTTATAATTGTAACCTCCCTTCCTTTTTCATTTGAATTTTGCCGCAGTTATCCTGGAGTAGACTGCCGTCTTTGTTGTCGGTGACATTATGATAGCTGCGTCCTCAGTGTGCTAGTGATCGTTGTCTGAATGACTGGTTACTTTGCCAAGTGTGTTCCAGTATAAGAGGTCTTTTCATTCAACTGTTTGAGTTTCTAGATAATTATTGGATTATATAATATTTCAAATACTTGCCAGGTTTTGTGTAATCAATGAGAGTGGTGACCAGTAAAATTGGATTATAAGTAAGAAACCTAACACTGCATTGCTCCTTCCAGTTTCAAATAGTTTTACGAAAATATCGCAGTTTTGTAGTATAATGTCTAAGGACAAACAAGTTAGGTATTGCGGTTTTATACGTTTATCAGTTACACTTGATTGTATTGATATCGTTTTAGCAGACAGGTGGTTAGTGAACTGATATGCAGTGAAATATTTTCTATACTTCGGTAGCGCTCTTGCAGATTTCCGGAAAACTATTATTTTTTAAAGTTTATGAATACTGTGTTTATATATGAACAGTCACATTGTTGTCGCACCTAATTTTCAAAGTACGATACACGAACTTTACCATTCAGTTTCTTGTTTGGAATCTAATGACTCGTGAGTTCTAACTTCCGTCAGTTTTGCCCTATATCACCACCGCCATCTAATGTCATCGACAAGTATGTGTCGTCTTACGCAGTTTGATTGGTTGCCTGGGTTACGACTTCTCATTGCATCTTAAGGATGTGGTTGTTAGAATTCGGTTAAGGATAAATACTTGTCGATAACACTGCAGAGAGGTCGCGCTCTACTGCTAAGTGATAAAAGTTAGGATTTATAGTCCACTGTATGTATAATGAACCAGTGGCTGACTGGTTGACTGGTAATGTACTAGCCCCATATCTCAAAGGTCCTATGTTAGATCTCTGGTAGGAGCCTCTAAACTAAGTTGGAGGCAGCTATCCAGCGTTATTTGGTTTTCAGTAGTATATATTTGGTGTGTCTTACCATCAGTTTCTGTTCTCTTAAATATGCTGATTTATCGAAAAAATGTGATAGTTCACTGAGTGAAAGTGAATTCTATATTGTGGATAAACGAAGTTGATTCTTTTTTCTTTTGCGCCTCTTTATTCTCCTAGGTATTCGCCTCGCCCTAGCTGATGCTGGTGATTCTTTAGATGATGCAAATATGAAAGAGGAAATGGCGGAAGCAGGTCTCCTACGTCTTTATGGCCTCTTAGATTGGTTCAATATGACTTTAGAAACTTTGAAGGATCCAGCCACACTTCAAAAGTCCAACTATCGAGCAGGTCCGTATACAATGCATGCAGATTATGTTTTCGAAAAGTAAGTACGATAACTTTACACATTATTCCGTGAAATTTTTGTAATACAAGTATTTTATATTGTTATACGCTTGCGTAGCATGATTTGTATTTTTAAATGTCTAAGACCTTGTGGAACTTTCCCCCAATAATTTATAGGTTTTATTTTGTCTACTGGGTAAAGAAAAATTCACTAATTACAACTCAGCCTTTTTTCAATTGAAAAAGCTTTATTCCGAACAAAATGTTTAGACAGTTTATAGAATTCTCAGCTTACATTACTGCATAATATTATCTCCGCATTCATGATCTTCAAGTAAAATAGCAGTCTACAGTATGTCACGTGACACAGTGCTGTCCGATCTAAAGCATAGATTAATCCCCCATGATGATACTTTTCCTTCGTCTCCGTGAAATACTTACTTACTTACTTTACCTCGGCTATCTCCTGCGGGAGGATTAGCCGGCTTCATGAACATCTCGAATAAGAGAGTTCATGAAGTTTCATGGGAATTTGATACGAGTGATGTCCCCAGAATCGCTCGGCCTTTTGTTTGAGAGTGCAGCTCTAGCCTTTACACAACCAAGTGTGACCTACAAGGCAGTAGGAGTGGAGTAGGGAGTCCACTATCCATTGGCAGCCGGTGACCGGAGTTCGGTTCATACGCCTTTTTGAATGGGGCCAGACATCCAGGACATCCAACAAGCCCTTTGTCCATACGTCTGCCGGTGAGCTCCAGTGAGCTTCATACGCCAGTCGTTGGAGGTTTGGAATCAGGGTTTAGCCATCTCCCCTAGACTGTCATCCAATGGACAGTCAACCCGGTGTAGAGCACCGGGCATCCGCTTTCACCCTCTCACTTTGGTGAAAAAACACCGCCACGTGAAGGCAGTGAGTAGGACTTCCTCAGGAGAGGCTATGTAAGACGCCCGGTCATATAGGAGCATTTCAAGAGGTGTGCGGAGGGGTGGCCAACCCGCAGCGCAAGGCACCCACCCCCGACCATCCTAAGGCTTTGGAGGTGTGAAATACTTACCAGCAGTTTGAAAGCCAATTGAAAATGTACGTCAGTACATTTTGCAACTCGAGGACATAATTGAATGGTTAAAACGATAAGACTTAGGGAAAATATGATGCGTTGTGTTTGGTGGAAATTCACGTAGCCCAGCGATTCAAACAGTCCGCCAAACCCGCGTTTATAATTAGGGGAGTTTATTTTCATATTAAACTGTCTAAGAAGGCAGTATAAAACCCGGGTTAATATGACGTCATTACCATTTTATAATACGTATTGTTTACCCATTGTCATGCTAATTATAACTGCCTTACTCACTCACTCACTGATGAACTTGTTGGGATCGTGTTCATCAAATCATTAGTTGTGATTAATTTCACTAGATAAAACTGTTATGCTTTATCAATTTATTTGATTAATGTTTTTTTCTTTCTTTATATTGACAGTGAGATGAATAATACTATTGAGTTAGCTGATAAAGCGTATGCTGCACAAGAGTACAGAGAAGTGCTGAAAATTGTTTTCTATGAACTTCAGGTAATTGTTTACGTTATGTTATAATGATTAGTGTTTTAGGTATATATAGTATCCAACAATAATTTTGTACTTAACAGATATTTATATTCAAGTATTGGTTTGTAGGAATTTGGTTGATTGGTTACAGGATTTCATCATGAGCTGACATTGGTTAGAGAACAATTGGAAAACCTGGGAGTACTGGACAGCTGTTTCGTCCTAGTTGGGGACTCTTCATCAGTACGCACCCATAGCCAGGGTTCGAATCCAGGACCTTCTGATTACAAAGCCAGCGAGCTCGTAGACGATTAAACTACTGGGACCCGATCCAATGGCCTGTCTATGAATCCCTACTTCTGCCAATTCACGATATAGCGCAACCGCTAGCCAATGTCTTCGGCGAGTATTCGTCCTCAAACTCGACCTGCTGCACCCTACTGGTCACGGCTTCCTACTGGAACCCCATTTAGTTCAAAAGTAACATTCTATTTAGTGTTAAAGGATGAAACTGACACATTAAGATGGTCATTGTTTTCTGATTTCTATGAATCCACGATTGTATGCGACTGGTATACGATGTATCCTTATAGTCTGAGTACGATTATTCTTATACTAACAGTTGTATTAAGTGTCAACTACCCATTATGACTCAGTTTTTATTTGGATATGAAACCCAGTTAATAACATATATTTTTACTTCAAGACTATCTTTCCTTTTAGCGTTATTTCTTCCATAGCAGTATTTTACTTTGTTTAAAGTGGTTTTATATGACTATCTTGAGGACACATTGTTTCCACTTGGTAATAATGAGATTTTATGCGACTAAGGTCTAAATATAGGGAGTTCATTTGATGCTCAGTAGCGACTCCCCCTATTCAGGCAGCTACCTAGGGTTCTAGTGGGAAGCTGTGTCTTGTAGGATACAGCAGGTTGACGGTGGGGCAGTAACTCATCGAAGAAGACATTGCGAAGTGGTCGCGCTATGCCATGAATTGGCAGAAATTAGAATTCATGGGCAGGTGATTGGATTGGCTCCCAGTGGCTTAATGGTCTACGAGCTCGCCTTGTAACTAGAAATTCCTAGGTTCGAACCCTGGCGATGGGTGGTGCGTACTGTGAAGAGTCCCAAAGTAGGCTGACGAAACAGATGTCCAGTACTCCCTGCAGGTTTTCCAATGGTTTTCTAAGTGATGTCAGCTCATTATGAAATCATGTAACCCACCAATCAATCAAATCCCTACAAACCATTACTTGAAAGTTCATTTGTATTATGTTCAGACCCTTGACTACCTAACACTGAATACTGAGTTCCAATTCTTCTCCACCTATCTAAAGTCGGTTAGTCAGTTAGTGGGTGGTTTTAACACTTTAAGTATAGTTCACAGCATATACCACATAAACTTATACCAGGCTTCTAGGTCAAATTAATAGACATCGTTGATGTTTCAAATAAATAACACTTGTATTACTTTTAATTAAAGTTGACCTTAGTATTCATTCTTTATCCACTAAATAAATAAGATAACCAACCATTTTGTGTTAAAAAGGTCATCAACTCTGATGTAAACAGTGTGTCTTTCAGTAATTAAGAAGATTAAGCATTATAAATTCCTGATTCCAGTTAGCTTACCGTGTATTTATTTTCATGTGTGTTTCTGAAGTTTATTTTCTTTAAGCTGTTAGTATTATCAACCAATTTAGGATATTTAATTTTTTAGTTATCGATAATTACAAAAAATATTTTCACTGTGATAATAATTAGTAGAAAACACAGTTTACGCAAAAATACACATTTTTGGTAATTTCTCGTCAGGCTTTACAGTTACATACTGCGTTTATTCAGCCGCTTAAGTATTTTACCAATGTATTTACCAACATTAAAGTTCAATTATTTGGATCAGTGTGATAATAATAATACCAATAATAATAATGGCAACAGCAGAATTATACGAGTGCTTGCGTAGTCTAAGTACTCAATCATTGTGAATGTGTAAGTAGGATGTGTAAAGGTGCAGAATAAGTATTACCTCATTGCAGTTGAATAAAAAGTTGTGAAACTATGGATCTCGGTGACCTGCTTAAAAATTGGGCTACAAAATTCCTACATCACTATACTGCATATAGTTTCTCCTGTTCACTTGCTTTTAATCAATTAAACTACAACCTCTAATGGTATTGTTTACTCTCGCGAGTATTTAAAATATTTACAAACCTACTGATTTGTAAGTTTCTACTAAAATTGAGGGAAAGTGTAATCGTGGGTGGCAGCGTATCCCCAGTATATGCAATAAGTGCTCCTGAGTTAGGGTTTTGGGTCTTACACTGTACTCTTGAACATTTAGCAATTGAGTTTCAACCAAATGTCGTGCATTTCTGTATGGAGACAAAGAAGAAAAATCATAAGGGATTGTTTTGCGCTTCAGGTCAGACAGTAGTGTGTAACAGAATCTACCGTCAATTATATTTCATCTGAAGATTCCATACGAGGAGGCACAGTGGTTAGGACTCTCGCCGACCATGCACATGGTCCGGGGTTCGATCCCCTGCCGATATCTATGGTCGGCCTGCAAAATTTGGGCTACCGATATCATATGCTGAAAATTCCATACCTGTACCAAAAAAATATGGTGTGGAATCAAGCTGTAATAAAAAAATAAAAAATATGCACTAAGCTGCACTGAAAATGCTGTACAGAATAAGGCTATTACTATAATTTTTACAATCAGTTATAACAGCATTCAAATAACGATAATACTTAGGGAGTTGTATAGATATCCGAACCTAGTTTGGATTTAGTGCTTTGTATCTGGATTAAAGGTAATAACTATCGAAGGGAAAGAGACTGTATAAACTTCTTCAGAATGCAGATCATTATTAAATTATTTAAAATAATCCCAAAGTGTTTGATAATCAGTCAGTCTGACTTGGTGACCAAATTGTTTCAGGAAATTCGCAACACTTACAGTGTGACTATTGATAACACACGGATTAGGTTGATGACACCTGGTTCACAGGTATTTAGTAATTGGTGGCGTACAAACCTGAAAAAATTGAGGTGGAACTTTGTTTAGTATGGTGAAAGCTGAATTCTAAAAAATATGATGCTACGTGCCCACTAAACGCACCAGTACAGTACAGAACTCCTTCTAGTTCTTTCTATTCTTTTCTCTAATCTCTTTGGATAATGTTGAAAGAATGAGACTTTGCACTTACTGATTCTTTATGCCTATGTAAGTGTCTCCGCAAAAGCAGTTACATTTTAAAAATGTACATGTTGAATAATTTTAATGTATAAGTGTGAAACGTGATGAGAAATTGCCGAAAATGCACATTTTTTAAAACTGCGTTCTCTAATTTCAAAAATGTTTCTTTTTGTAGGTCATCTTCATGGATATATAGTTTCGTATGCTTTTATACTCTGACGATATTTTTTTCAGTTAGCCTCATGAAATAGTGTAACGACAGCAGACAAGGGCCAGGTTACAGATCTTTTATTGAGAAAATCAAGAGATATTTATATATTTTTATGTACATTATTATTCGTTATTGTTAGCAGAGAAGCAGCGTCTTCTGATTGGTTGTTTTTCTGCTAAAGCTTATTGTGTACTGTTTGTGACCGTTGCTTACAAGGTTATCCATATATCTGCGAATCGTATTTGCATACGCTAAGTCTGCTGTGATTGGCTGTTGAGTTCCTCAAGGTTAGGCTGTGTTCTTGGTTTTCTCATGACTCCGATTCTTGATGTAAACACTGACGTCAATTGTTGTCTACAATTTTGTCTTGCAGACAGCTCTCACCACGATAGTCGTCCTACCTGATGTGTTCGTAACAGTCTAATCAGCATTTTGTATAAAGGAAGCAGTTTTCCCCCAAACTTCTTGATACACCTAACTGACGAGTGTCAATATACGCGAAACCTTGACATAGGGCTGCTCATTAATTCACTGTTAACATTTGGTGCTAAAAATCCGTAATATTGTTATTTTGTTATATTCTGTTATTTCATCAAACACTTTGTTATGTTATTGACTCTTCCTTTTCGATAATTTTAAAGACACATCGTGACAGGTATCGTGAAGTTTGTCAAGGTAGTCTACATATCGATCTAATTCGACGTTATATGAATGTTCAATTGCTATTGCTTTGTCCAATATGTTCACATGTTTGTGAATATATATGGCTTAAGCTGTTGAACAATAAAACTTCAATTTTTTGTGAAACCTGGCCTAAATTGACTCGTCCAGTGGATCGAGTATTGCTGTTGCAAGGTGAGCTGATTTTTAAGTGATTCACCAATGCCGTGTTACTTTCTTTATAGCGGTTATTAGATTAAGTAATACTAGCTTCAAAATCATAGTTCACGATGATTATTAGTGAAAGGCAAAATTTTGGAGCTGGATGAATTTTCATAGGAATGTGTGGTTTCCAACAGTGGGCATTTGTTTCACAAAGCTTTCACGATAATTACTTCGGTTTATTTTATTCCTTCACGTTCCCAGTGGAACATAGGGCTTCAAGCTAGAGGTTTGAAGTTTCTGTAGCAGTGGTGATTAATTTTTACAGGATGGGGTTGCTAGCCTCATGCCCAACCTTTCCACTTTACCAGCCTTTTATTACTGGCTTAGCGAAATAAAGGAGTGCGTCCAGTGGCCGGGGATCGAACCCCGGACCATGTGCATGGTCGGCAAGCGTTACCATACTTAAATAGAAGACTCGTTGTTTGCGCTAACCACATATCACTATTTTGTTGTTGAATTGTTGTCTTTCAGGTCATAAATTCGTAAATCCGGTGTTAATATTGTAGTTTTTTTTAGGGCTTTTGTATTTTTAACAGGTTCTATGGAGTACACTAAATTTTTATCTGAAGATCATGTATAAAGTTGTAATAAATTTGTCTAACAATGATAAACAGTCACATTACCTAATCTTTCTAAAAAATGTATCGGTATGAGTTCTTGTCAAACTACCAAAGAAAGGCCTCTGCAAGAAATGGCGTGGAACAATGGTCTTATCCATGCCAAGTAAAATACTAGGTCACATCATCCTTGAGAAAAATAAATGATGCACTGGATGCAAAACTCCGCCAACTGGGACAAGCTGGATTCGAAAAAAGCGAATCGTGCACTGATAAAATTGAAACTCCATGCATCATCATCGTGCAAAGCATAGAATGGCATGCGAACCTGTACCTTAACTTCATAGACTTCGAAAAGGCCTTCGACAGCGTTGACCGGAAAATAATTTGTAAACTACTTCAACCTTATGAAATGCGGTGCCCAAATCTTTATCAGCCTCATCCAACAGCTATATGATGATGCCACGTGTAATGTGATCCACAACGGAATCTCAGCAAGGTGTTCGAAGTGAGTACAAGAGTGAGTCAAGTCTGCCTATTATCACTGATGATATTTCTAATTCTGGTGAATTGGATTATGCATCAGACTGTGGGTTGGGAGTGAGGAGACGGGAATACGCCTGACCAACAAGAAGACTCTTGAAAATCTGGATTTCGTGCATCGATGATTTATGTCCAATATCACACAAACTCGAAGATTTACAGACGAAAACCAACAGTCTGGCAGAAGAGGCTGACTGCGAAGATAGGACTGCAGGTGAACATAAAGAAGATAGAGGTGATGAAGATAACCAACCAACAGCAATAACAACCAGCACCAATCAACATCAACGGGAGACACTTGAAAGAGGTCACTTACTTCACTTATGTAGGCAACCAGCATTGTTTCAACCACAGGGGGATAGCACGGATGAAAATATCAAAGCCAGCCAGAATTGGAAAGGCAAGATGCGCCTTCATCAAATCTGAAATCAGTATAGAAATCTTTTGCACTCAGCCAGCATAAACAAAAAGATTTGGATTTTCAACACTAATGTGAAGTCAATCAGTCAATTCTTCTATATGGCTCATAAACTTGGCTAGCGTGTCACGAAAAGCATTTCCAACAGGCCACTGCAGACTTTTGTCAACAGCTGCCTTGTCTGGCTCCATACTGAAGATCGAAAGGCCGACCAGAAAGGATTAACAACAAGAAACTATGGGAGCAAACTGACCAAGAACCTATCGTTCAAGAAATATCTAGGAGAAAATGCAGATGGATAGGACACACACTGAGGAAACGGTCGAATAACATCACTCGCCATGCCCTCTAGTGGAATCCAAATGAGAAGCGACTAGTGGGTTGTCGGTGCGAGGAGGAGATGGGAGATTATAGGCAATTGTGGGCCCAGCTGGAGAGGACAGCGGAAAATAAAAGAAAGCGGAGATGTGTTGTTGAAGCCATATGTTCCACTCGGAACCCTAGGGAACAGTGGTAATATAATAATAATAAGTTAGATAGTTGGAGGCAATCGGCAGGAAGCCTTGGACCTAGGTTTCGTGCTAGTTGGTACTCATCAGCAAGGGGTATCTGCAATCTGACCGATAGAATTCAGTCTGCACCAAAGAAAAGACTAGATACGTCACACTAGTTACTAGTGTCCAATTGTAATAATAAGTTCTTATAAATTTTTCAAAAAGAATATTAACAAACTTGAAGCATTCAAGTTGGAATAAAATGGAGATGCGTTTACATCTTTTGCTTGCAAGCAATAACTTCTTAAATGTTAAAAAGTTTCAAATAAAATCTTATTATTTCCTTTCACACCTGATAAATTCCTGTACTTCTGCCACTAAAACGCGTTGGCTGTTATGGAATTCATTACTCTCATTCCTCACGTTGTGTTGAGTTTGTGTAATTCCAACAATATACACGTGGCGCGAATGACCCACTAATTTATGTATGTTAACTAAAAAGATAATTTTAATTCACATTGTTTATTGGTGTAACTTGCAACTTCATTTACTTCTATATTTTTCTTACTTAGGTCGATACATTGATAATACCGCGCATGCTTTCCGGCTTCAACTGAAGCAATATCAGACAGCAAAGTCCTTAAAGAACAACAAAACTGGTGAATCCAATCCTGCGAATAGTTGGCTCCCACCTTCAGAAGCTGTTATTTGGGTCGCAAAAGCTTATCCACCATGGCAGGTATTTCACTTTTCACATACTTCGATGTGTATGTCAGTATACAGTAATTCTTTCTTGGGTATTCCGTTGTAAATTAATTTGTGTATGAAACTTGTACATTGTGGTGTTATATATATATATATATATATATATATATATATATATACATAGCGACCTTACTAAGATCATAGGACCCAAAATAAAGCTCAGCTGTATAGAGCAATACATGCTATTACTTGAAATCACGATAAAATGACAATGGTGACCATTAATATTGCATAATGGAGAAAGAGATTGATAACCAAAGCTTTGTTTTCGGTATAAACTAGGTGGTGGGTGACAAAGGCGAAAGAGATGGAAAAAGCATCGGCGATAGGCAACACTAGGCAACTCTTTAGACTCATCAGGCAAACGGGTGGGAGAAGGTAAATCATAAGTGAGACTATTTGTGGGAAAAATGGCTCCTTAATTAGCTCTCAGGATAGACGCCTTGAACGCTGGAAAGAACACTTTGAGGAACAATTTAACTTGCTTACAGCCACACTGAGCCTCCCCGCCATCCAGCACACACCCGAATGGGATATAGACACTGGGCCGCCGTCTGTAAGTGAGGTCACAAAAGCTATTTGTAATTTGAAACGAGGCAAAGTGGCAGGACCCGATGGAATTATTCCGGAGGTGTTTAAATATGGGTGTGATATTCTAGTATATAGTTTAACTAAGGTACTAGGTAACGTCTAGGAATCAGAGTCGGTTCCATTAGAATGTGGTAATTCACTTATTGTACCAATATTCAAGAAGGGAGGCAAGTCCTCATGTGATAATCATAGAGGGATCAGCCTGACGAACATAGTCTCTAAAATCTTAGGCTCAGTAATCATGCACAGACTAAGCCGAACTCGGGAGGAACAAACGAGGGAAAATCAAGCAGGCTTTAGGCCAGGTAGAGGGTGCATAGATCATATCTTCACTCTCCGACAGATCCTAGAACATAGACACACTTTTAGGCGTCCAACAATTGCCATATTTCTTGACTTGAAGGCGGCCTTCGACTCCGTGGATCGAAATGTACTATGGCAATGTTTGACTGTGAAGGGAGTGCCAAGAAAGTACATTGCACTAATCAAGGCACTCTACTCAAACTCACGTAGCTGTGTAAGGGCTTATGGGGAATTGTCATCTGAACTGATAACAACCAGTGGTGTCCGTCAAGGATGTCCACTTTCCCCATTTCTGTTTAACTTCATCATAGACATGCCAATGGAAGTATCCTTAACTGAACTTAACGACTTAGGAATCGACTTGTTACCAGGGAATAGTTTTATGGACTTAGAATATGCAGATGACATAGTCCTGTTAGGGGAGGATGCTGACAAAATGCAGTCTTCTGAACACCTTGAGCAGCAATCTTCGTATGTTTGGCATGCGATTCGCCCCTGTAAAATGTAAGATGCTGCTACAGGACTGGACTACGTCTACCCCTAGCTTAGTGATAGGGAGTGAAGTGATAGAACATGTTGACCACTTCACCTATTTGGGAAGTTGTATCAGCACCAACGGACTGATTGGTGACGAAATCTCAGCACGGATCCAAAAAGCTCGGGCTGCTTTCGCTAACTTACACCGTCTCTGGCGTAGGCGTGACATCCGACTATCAACCAAGGGACGTGTGTACTGCTCAGCAGTTCGCTCCGTCCTTCTCTATGGCTCTGAAACATGGCCAATACGAGTTGAAGACATGAAAAGGTTGACTGTTTTTGATCATAGATGTTTACGATCTCTTTCTCACGTTAGGTGGCATAATAAGGTAAGTAATGTTGACGTTAGGCGTAGAGTGTTGGGCAAAGAGGGAAAATCAATCGATGAGGCTATAAAGTTACATAGATTGAGATGGCTAGGTCACGTGCTGCGCATGCCTAACCATCGCCTCCCCTGACGGGCATTACTAGCTGATATAGGTAGTGCAGGTTGGAAAAGAGTAAGTGGTGGCCAAACAAAAACATGGCATCAATCCATGAAATCCCTGACAGTTAAACTGAGTCAGGTAGGGAGATGCAGACTTCCGGGTTGGGGCCCGCTCTCGGGACTCTAAGAATCAATGGCTGGAGACAATAGGTGACATGGCTCAAAATCGTTGTCAATGGCTTACGCAGATGTATTCAGTCTCTGTAATCTTTCATATTCCTTTCTACCATTACTCATTCTGTTTCACTCTTATACTTGTCAAAACTCTATTGATTCTCTTCACTCATCTTCTTGTCTACCTTTGTGTGCTATTTGGAACGTGGCAACTCGAACTGCTGCACTTCGGTGCCAAGTTCTATGTTGAATCCAGCCAGCCATAAACTAGGTATACCTGCAACAGAAATGAGTTCTTCTGTTCGGGTCATGAAAATTCTACTATTCCCACGACAAACTGAAAAGAATTGAGATTATCAAGGCCAAGTTGTGTAATTGCTGCTACTGTGTTTATAGACAATGAACTGTATTCGAAACGCAATCGAACAAATAAAACTGTTGTAACATAAGAAGACGAGAGACTTGGTAAAGGAGTGTTTATACGGAATTTAGTATCTCTATAGAGCCAAATTATGTACATCCTACCTACAACGCACCATTCGCACAGATCTTCGTGTTGTACCGCTTCTCGCCTTCCTTCATATTGTGTTTCTTTGTGTTCGCTTCACGTCTCCCATCTGTCTCCTCAATACTATATCATTTGCTTTCTCTGACATCAAATGTATCTCCTTGCTATTTAGTTTTTTTTTACGCCGATGAACATCTCTTTATATACTACTGATAAATCTTATCAAAAGCACACACCACACTCGTTCCCCTATCAAATAGTTTCGAATGGAGTCTTTCCAACCCTCTTTGTTCTACCCATTCCTATTGCACCTTGGTCCCGGCTTCCTTATCCCACTGAATCGATTTCTGTAGCTGACTTATGTTAATCTGTTTCTGCCAATTTCCTCTTTTGATGGTATAAACAGGACCACGTCTCTTGGTGACAGTGTTATGCTTGTGATAAAATAAGCCAATTCGGAATTTTTCTTTCTTAGAATTTTCCTTAGAAAAGCTTTACATACCTGGTGTTCACATAAACTTATTCATCTCAAAAATCGTATTCTTTATTTTAGGCTCAAATTCTCGAGATTATGGCAGCTAATCTTTCAAAGGATGGAAAACGTTTAGCAGATAATGCAACTTTAGCACAACTTCTTCGTCCTCATTTAAAAGGTATGGGAAAAATGGCGAAACGTGCAATGCCATTTGTACAGTTAGTCAGGGAACGTTTTGAAAGTCATGGTAAACAAGTACTCCAGCTTCAATTAGAAGTAGATGAAAGTGATGTGCTTAAAAAGAATTTATCATATATGATTTCAACTTTGGGTTTAAGACAACCTGATGGCTTAAAAGTAAGTGCAATTTATCGTATTAGTTTTTTTCGTTTCCTTAATGTGTTCAGATTTTTTCCCCACAAGTTAGTTAGTTAGTTTATTTTAAAATTTAATATCCGTTCGGTGTCGGTGGCACACCGGTAGAATGCTCCTCAACCACGCGGATAGTACGGCGTTCGATACCCGGCCGATGCACTCCTTTACCTCACTAAGCCAATGATAAGACTGGTAAAGGTTGGGAAGGTTTGGCATGATGCTAGCAACCCCATCCCGTAAAAATAAGTACCATTGCTACCGAAACTTCAAGCCCTGTGTTTCACTGGGAACGTAAAGAAATAAAAAAAATCCGTTCGGTGTCATTACTCATCAAAGCGATTCAATCAGTATCACAAGTCACAGTTATTATAAGTAGAATAGTGTATAAGTGTCTGATGGATTTGAAAAGTATGTGAAGAGTAGAATAATAGTTACAGGGGAGAAATAGTTCAATGGGACTGTAAGTCCTAGCCTTCCTGAGACTGAAGCTTTTCAAGATGTGATGCCCCTGATTATAGAATTACTTTATTAGTAGGACTAGGTTGTTTTGCGATAAATAGCTTCTTGGTTGGGTTTTGCTAAGCTGGTGTCATTCACATTTCCAGTTTCTATGTTATGTAGCTAAAATTTATGAAAATTAGTATAGATTCATATACTCTTGATATAGCTAGCGATGTATATTTCTCAGTGTCTTTATAAACCTTTATTCTAGTTAGATCACTTTTTTCTCAATTTTTTGATTCCCAGTAGTCTGGAAGTTTGATTTTTACTACCCTTAGCATTGAGTATAAACAGTTGGATTATAAATTTTACAATATACATAGCCTATTCTCTAGTATATATCTAGCGGGTTTCTTCAGCTTCTTGGATATATATATATATATATTTCAATTATTATTGACAATGGTTTTGTCAGGTATGTAAATGCAAGTCCGTGTAAGTATTATATATCGAAGACACACAAATCGTGCTGCAACTTAATTTTCATTTGTTTGCATAAATAAGATATAGCGTCAATTAAATTTGGCCGCTATTTGTAGTGGTTATTTTGCAACTTTGCTGTCACTATAAAATTCAAACTTCCTGCTTTGTGTGTAAGGCACATTAACTCTGTATGTTGATTATAGTTGACGACTTCTGAAAGCCAATTTCCCCTTAACTGAAATTCTCATAATCTCTCTCTCAATTGCATTTCACAGTGTAGATGGCTTATACATGGATCTAATATGTATTCAATGTGTATTTTTCTGGTATATTGAATACCTACTTGTTGAATATCGTTTTGCTAGAAGATTAATTATTGTTATTCCTTTGGGTTCCGAATAGAATATAGGGCTTCAACAACTCATCTCCACTTTCTTCTATTTTCTGCCATCCTCTTCATCTGGGGTCACGATTGTCCGTAGTCTCTCATCTGCTCACACGATCTCCTCCATGTCACCCTAGGATGACCCACTCGTCGCTTCCCATTGGGATTCCACTCGAGGGCCTGGCGCGCGATGTCGTTTGACTGTCTCTTCAATGTATGCCCGATCCATCTCCATTTTCTCCTAAAAATTTGTTGAGCGACCGGCTCTTAGTTGGTTTGTTCCCACAGTTTCTTGTTACTTTTTCTCTCTGGCCGGTCATTTGATCTTCAGTATGGAGCCAGCGAAGACAGCTGTTGATAAAAGTCGGCAGTGGCCTGTTGGAAATCCTTTTCATTACATGCCAAGTTTCTGACCCGTATAGAAGGACCAACTTGACATTGGTGTTGAAAATGCGAATCTTGTTCCTCATGATGAGTGCAGAAGTTAACTAGTTAACTACTTGCTAGTTTCCTAGCTGGTCCCAAGTCTGGGTAAAGAGAGGGGGTTGGGTGTGGGGCTAGCAACCCTACACCACTTAATCTATCAAACTGCGAGAGAAACTTCAACGCTAGAAGATTTGGTTGTATATATTTCAGAATGTTAATTACATTGCTCCATTCACTTATGCTTTCACTTGTATTATCGTTATTTTTTCTGGGATAAAAAAAGAGATCTGTTACTACAACATTTTAACAAACCGTCTGGTATACTAAAGTTGCTACTGTTACAAATCACTGTAAAAGTGTGTGTATGTATGTTTGAAGTAACACAGAACAAAGGATAGTCAGACAGAAAGGTATTCAACGCTTATTGTGTCCTAGGTTCAATAGTTTCATATGCGTAAAACTCAGAGTCAACTACAAATATTATTTATCAATGAAACATATCAGGTTTTAATTACCTCCCAAGTCATCAGGGCTTTCACTGGAGGTTTCAGAAAAAGACGTCTGTATTACCTTACAGTCAATGATATTCCAAAGGTGTAAAATCCATGCATATCATAGAATAAAGCGGGATTGTTATCACTTCAAAAGTATGGATACTAAATATGCTTAATTAAATTGGATGGTTTTTAAATGTTTATGGATTGCAGCCAGATCTAACCTTCATGAAACAGTAAAACAGTTGGTCCCTTATTTATAACGTTATCCAAATTTATTAAAGACAGAGTTAGTAATGAAATATGAAAGTGTGCAGTACATTTCTAGAGCAATCTGATCACCCATCTAATAATCAATTAAATTTATATATTTAAATGAAGAACACCTACCTTGGTTATCCTAACTCAATTACATTACCAGGGGTAGTGTTAATTATTTGTTCTCCTTACACATAAATTTCCTATTATTTTGTTAATTTTATTTGACGCTTTACTTTTTCATTCACTTTTAGTGGAGCCCTATCTAAACTGCATGAAAAAAACATAAAGTACATCTGCATTACTATATGGGTTTTTTCTTCTATTATTATAGATCCTTTTCTCTTGTGATTCTGATGACCAGCGTGTACAAGAAAGTGTTTGCCCTTTAGAACCTCTTATTATTTTCCGTGAACCATCGGCTGCAGCATGCTTAACATTCCTAAATCCAGATGTTGGTTCAGGCTTGTTTACGATTAATAGTATGAATATATGTGATGGGGATACACATGCTGACGTGGTTTCACGTCTAATTAACCACTGCCGGTCATTTATGCCAGGTGGTAAAGGTAAGCTTAACTGTTTAAAATTTTAAATATATATCCTCTTCTTCAGTTTGATCGTGGAAAAAAACAAGAAGCAATGGACGGTTATTCTTTTCTAGCTGGGGAGGGGTTCCACTGGTTCCCACTGTTGACACCATTGAGAGTCGAACATGGAACCTTTAAGTTAAAAAGCAGTTATGTTGTTGTTTAGCTACTAGGTTAAAATCCAGTGATCACATATTGACAAAGCACATGAAGAAAAAAAGAGATAATATTACATTAGAAGAACACATGCAACTAGGCGAACAGTTCCAGATAGGTTGATGAAAATTTTCAGAATTTAAAATTCAATAGAAAGTGAACAAACAGTATCCAATGTGAACGATTTAGAGCCATTTTATCAAGAATCTCCAGTTACTCATTCTTTGCATTTTGAGAACCTCAAGCAAGTACCCATTCTGAGGTCCTCACTGACTAGTCAGCGTACTTTGTGGTTCGAAACTGCGTTATGTTTTTATCATTTCTGAATCTTATACACTCTTAATTCAACTATTATTGTTGGTGGTCGAAGTGATGGCCTAATACCTTAGGAATAAAAAATGATACCTAATGTTAAGGAACTATGATTTGTACATATTGTATAGTCATTTTTCATGAGGTAGCTGAATTCCTGTTTATCGTAATCGTGTAAAGCTGACTGATGCCTAAGGAGTAGTGCTAAAATTTCGTCTTCAGTGATCCTTCAGAACAAATATAACTTAACAAAAAGTGATATTAAAAATACATTCAATCGTTCCACTCACTCGTTGCAAACTAGAAGTCGAGTACTGCCTTTAAGTAAAAAATACGGTCTGATTGCTCAGAAATTTTCTAGTTATAACTAAACAGCATAAGAAACTTTGATTGCTTACATTCTGGTGAATTGTATTTTAGTCATTGTACTGTCTGTCTCCATATGTTCCTTATTGGTCTGCATTGTTGTGGTTCTGTCAGTTAGTTGAGCGTTATCATTCGCATATAGGTGTCGAGTCAAACTGCTCGTGCTTCAAGAGTGAAGAATGTTGTGTTGAGTTGACATTGATGTCAATTTTGTTGGGGGGGGGGTGAGTTTGTTTGATATTCAGCCATTTGTTTTACTTAACTTTGAATTTAGTTTAGTCCTCACAACCAATAAATTTGGTTAGCTAGGAAACAAAGGTAAGTTTTTTCACTCTAATACGCACATATATTTTTACATTGCGAATCTGATTGAACGCTTTGACTGCAATACAAATAATTGCTGTTTGTTTTCTTCATTTCTTTTGTTTTTTAAAGAGCTAAAAAAGGTATCTCTGTATCGTTTTGCTGATCCGACGCGGGGTCCTTTGCATATTCCTCCTTATTCTCCAGACATTTTGCAGTTAGTCCAACCAACTGCTCGTTTTGCAGTCGACTCATCGTCATGTGTTACACTCCAGGTTGATAATACTCAAATTGCTATTGGTACAAAACTTGTGTATACAGCTGTTGCTTCTTGAATGCTTTTCAATACAGTTTAGTCCTCCATAAAGTTCTTTTTGTTCTGTGCAGCTTGCACTGTGACTTATTGTTCTATAGTTGTCGCTGCTAATTTGTTCATCATTTACTTCTAACGGATTGGAAGAAAAATTCGCTGAGTATATATGATATCAAATAAGACGTGAATTTTTTTGTATTCAAATCTTGATGACACCTTTGTTGGGTTGGATAAGGCAGCTAACTGACTGAAGCATTTCAAATGCCGGAATTATTATCAATTTTCCTTAGTAAACGTCTTCGTTACTTGGCATGTAAGACAGAAGCTGGTTGGAAAATCCCTTAGCTAGTAAAATGAACCGACGGAAATATACTTTCCGCGTATTTAGTCTCTTAGTTAAAATAACTGAAGTCATGTTAATTTTGTGCATACTTGGTTGGAGCGAATTGTGTTCTGAATGGACTAGGCAGTGTTTTGTACGAACTAAAATTATTTTTGCATGACGCTTTTTGTAGTAATACCTTTAGGGAGTCATCACCAAGTGCAAAAATGTGCTCATTCGCGGACTAACCGGAGATGGGGATCCACGAGATTATGGGGTTAACTGAACATTTTCATGAATCTGGTGAAAAAACGGCTTTTGATCGTCTGTACAAGTCTGAAGAGGGCCTTCGCCTTTTTAGCATCTGTCCTATGGCCGTAAACCAAAGTGTTTCATTTTTAAGTTCTATATATGTTATTGCTCAGGACGCTGCTATACTGTCAGTGTATTAATATATGACAATCGGTATATATGGTATAACGCAAAAATCATCGGGATATGCATTGTGTCCTATACTCTTTAACCAACTTCAGTGATTTAAAACAGAATAATTAACTCTAGGGTGCCTACCGATGTACTGAATACCGTATAAAATTTCTAAGACTTTATCAGATTAATCTTTACATGTGTGACATTGTTCACGGCCTTTGTACTGGCCTCAATGTGCTCTGAACAGAAACTCATCAGCTGAAATTCGCAGATGTCGTGTAAGACTGTACTCATAAATTGGGTCTATTAATGTGTTGCGTCATTGATTAATGCTCTAGACCAGTCAATAATTAATGAATTTCATTGAATGCACATCAGTGACAGTTTGTTGCATTGATTATTATTTTCGCTATCTCTGACTTAAGTAGGGCTTTCTTCAAGTTAAATCAAATTCACAATAAGCCAATTAATTCTCGATTTGCAGTTTACCTAGCTCAAGGTGAAATATCACTACAGTTTCCTTCAGTATCAAGCATATCACTCATTGTGATCTGTTCGGCTAGCGAGCACTGATGTGTGCGACATCCACTCGATCAGTCTGATTTATAGTCATGCATTCACTCAGTTCAAGTTCTAAGTGGACAGTTTATCTTGGCAACGAACCTTTGGTAATATGGAGATTAGGACATATGCGATTGAGAACGCAAAGGAAGATGAAAGACAGACGAATAGATTTTCAAAATACAGATATATGAGGTAGAAAGAATAGTAACTTGTGAAAACAATAGGGTTTAGTGGATATGCCGATCACAAAGAACGAATGCTTGTGCGCTTTTGAGAACGATTTTGAGCAATACCATCAATTGTCTCCAGCCGCTGGTTTTCAGAATTCTGAGGACCTCAACCAGGCAGGTTGCACCTCTCTACGTGGCTCAAACCAGCAGTCAAAGATTCCGGGGACTGATTTCAAGTTTTGGTTTCACCATCACCAACTCTTATCCAATCTGATTCTATTTCAGCTAACATTGGCCGTCGAGGAAGGTGGCTAGGCTTGCGCAACACATGTCCTAACCATCCCAAACGTTGTACCTTCATAACCTCGTTGATAGATTTCCCCTCCTCACCTAGCACTTGACCGATGCCTAACCTCGATATTGCTCACCTTATTGTACCACTTGACATGGGAGACAACGCAGACATCTATGACCAAAGGCAGTTGGTCTTCCACTTTCAATGACCATAGAGATAAAGACAGCGAACTGCTGCACAGTGCCCAAGTTCTTAGGTAGGTTGGCGGATATCACATCTGCTACAGAGATGATGTAAGTCGACCAATTTTACATGGGCTCTCTGGATTAGTGTTAAGATTCCCATGGCACCAAAATAAATATAGTGTTAAGGTGAATAGATATCACTGAATCAACTAAATAAACGTCCTGCTTTAGGTGTTTTTTAACTTTTGTTTTAACGGCTACTCATCCGATCAGGCTTAGCTGCAATCTTACGCTCTTTTCTTGTGCTGTTAACAAGCATAAACGCCTAGTCCGTTGTCCAGACATACTAGAAAAGATCTGTTGTCTTTCCCCAAATAACCCTAACATCCTATCTAAGTATACTGCTCAGTAGAGTACATTGCTGAATAACTGAGTCATACTGACTCGCGTTTTGTGATCATTACCTACAGGTCAAGATGTGTACTGACTGACTACGTAGTTCGGCATACTAAGTTTAGTAAAGCTGGCATAGTGTAGCCCATCAATAGCATTAACAGTATCTTACAATTGGTGAGCCTGACGTGATTGTTGTTCGCCTAATTCAAGCCCAATTCATCCAAAATTTCATTTCCTCCCACTGGTGTTATTATTTTTAGTTCTGTGTAGCAGGCTTTCACCACTTGTCTGTTAATGTTATTTTATAATCTTAAATACCATGTAACTTTTCCTACAACGGCTAGCAATGCTGAACCTACTCACCCGGGTACATTGTTCGTTTTCGTGGTTCTCGCATGCTGAAGTCCATTTCGCTCTGCAGAGAATACAGTCAAAGAAACCAAAGCTAACTTAGTCATTGTGTGTCTTTCTGGGAGATATTCCTGAAGGTTCCTCCTATAACCGATACAATCGTCTTAAAGCAGCTCTTATCATTGGAGTTGCGCTTACTGACTAATGGGAATTGCAAGAACTTCCAACAGCGTGCAACCTGGAGACTGTAAACACACGAAAGTGCTTTGTCAGCGCTGAAACAATCAGCCTCCGATTTCAGCACTCACCAAACTTTCCCAGAACAACTGCTTTTGCAAAGATTGCCTCCGATTTTGCAGGGAACTTTCACACGCTCTTACTAATCATAGTTGATAACTGACGGAGCTGTCGAGGCCATCAGGACATATGAAAGCAAACCTAACACACTACCTGCTGGCTCTTTTTATCAAAATGACTTCTTCCCAGCCGGCGAACTGCCCATATTCAACACCAAACAAATTCATAAGGACTTGTGTAGTGCCAGGAGAGAGGTTACCGCTGGAAGTCCGTGCCACAACCTCACACTACTTCCCAGAAAGTCCTCTCAATTTTCGAAAAAAGACAATGGAAGTCGAGAAGCTCGCAACCTGCAGTTAGCTGGTTTCACAGGGGTTATCGTGCAAGTGATTGAAGATGTACTAATCCCTGCACCGCCAACACTAGTAAGTTGGAAAACATGTGAGCCAGCACGTAATGACGGCTAGCATCTCTGGCGAAGCGTTTCCTTGTCGCCTCCTCTTTGTCACAGATTGTAACCCTAGGAGACGCTTCCTGGTTATTACGCGGCAGATGCTAGCCTCATCCCATTCACCACTTATAAGCATCTGCGAGCAGCATCTCATCAGCTATACGTCACCAATTTTTCGCTTATGACAGAATGTTTTTAGAACATAACATCGGAATTTACCGTTATTTCTTTTGAATTTTATCTTAGCCGATAGGATTGCTAGCATTTTCGGTATGGACCTCTTCAGGCGTTTTCAGTTGCTGGCAAGCATAAGTTGATTGATTTTGGCACGTGACTATCTGTCTCGGTTATCTTCATTCTCACCTTGGTGTATTCAACCCCTGGTTATTCAAGTCTGTGACCTACCACAACCCAGTTTTTTGCCGACGCTTTCAGACCTAATTGTGGTATCCTTTGTATTACTTTCACTATTAATCCCCTGTTTCTGCTTAACCAAGGCGGTTATCTCCAAATAGACTTCAGGTAGTTGGGGCTGAGTTTTGACATATATGTGAAATGAGGAACCCCAGACCAACCACCAGCCTGTGGTCTTCGCCTCAAAAACCGGGTGCCTAAAAACATTGCCATACCTGGAGGCCTTGTGGTGATTACCGAATATTTGATGACTCCCAGATCGTTGGTAACTCCCACATTTACACGACTTAACATCGCCTTCCAGAGACTTGAATGTTTTCAGCAAGCTCGATGTAACCTGTGATTACCACCAGATCCCCGTACATCCTGATGACGTTCCCATGGCAGTGGTGACCCCCTGTCTTGTATATTTGCGTTTCCTCGCATGCCATAGGGTGTACGTAGGCAGTGCAGATATTTCATCGCTCTACGTCATGGGAAACGGCGAAATGGAAAAAAATGCAATCATGGATACTGCATCATTGAAAGTACATTTACAGCGTCTTTATAAGAAGGAGGTGGAGACTCCTTGGAATGATAGTAGACATTTGCAATGTTCAATGCTAACCATATTGGCCGGCTGGACTTATCCGGCATGTTGGTTGAAATTTCGCTCGGCAAATTTGTTTTGTCAATAGTTTTTAATAAAATTTTGTTGTATGTTTTCTGGATTGATAGGAATTCTTATTTCCTGGCTAGTTATGTTGGTGTCTGCGTCGTTTAATCTGACTGCGACACACTTAGCATATTGGTTGTAATGATTAGTGTTTCATGCTGAATGCGTCAAAACATCTCTACAATGAAGAAGATGGGGTAGTTGGTGGGTAATGTCATCTACACAAATAGTTTATCTCTTGTAGAAGCTGCAGCTTTCGACATAGTGTCATTCAATGAAGACTACGTCAAAATGTGGCTATTTTCGTGTGAAGAACAGTACTATTTTACAAAAGAATGCTATCAGTACATGGGAATCACCTTTAAATGCCAACAGAACATAAAACCAATGTGTAAACGAACGGCTATGGAACTGCAATCCAACATAACCGACTAACATGGACGAAAATGACCTTTGAGCGTCTCACTCCATCAATGACCTTGAGCATGCGGGATAATTTCAGCCTATTGGCCTTACCATTGAAACTATGACTTTTTCGGAGAAAATATAGTTCTGTTCAAAAATTGTTGTTGTGGTGTTTTTCATCAAGGCAACCGAACTTTAGGCAAGCGACTTATGAACAAAGCGTAAGTTTTAGCTTTAATAAAGGCCTAGGTAGTTAAGATAAAATAGAGTATAATAGTGAGTAAATAGAAAGATTACCGTGAGGTAGATAAGTGCTATTTCAGCGAGAAGTAGCTTCAAAGATATGAAAAATTAGAACCTGTAGTACAGGCCGACCCGTAAGATGTCTTTCGAATTTCTGTAGGGCCCATGGGGTAGAATCTTGACAAGAAGCTGAGCAGGCTTCTAGGCGCTAGGGGCGAAAGCACTTTTTTGTAATTTAAATCTGTACAACCCTTAGTGTTTTAATTGTTAGGGATCTGGACTAATGTATATTTCTCAAGCCGCCGAAAATGCATGTTACTGTGCTACAAATTGGAGCGATTAACATTAGTGCCCACCGCGATATCAGCTGATCAGCATGCCCCACCCTCCATCCCTTTTTAGTAAGGACTGGTGTAGTGTAGCTATCAGGATCTCTGCTATTACCCCACAACTTGAAATGTATGCAGTCATCGCCTGTTGCATCCTCATGTCCAGGCAAACTGAACTTCCTGGTAAGTAGGCCGATGTTTTCTTATTGTAGTCATAATAGTAGTTCATTCACATAAAGGTAGGTAAGGGAAGTCGGCAAGTTGGATCCTTAACTTCGGGAGAAGGATTGGCTCTTGGAGCCGAGTCAAACAGGCTGAGATCAGATACGTGTCGGTCCTTACGAAGGTTGGTTTTTTTACTGATTTGTGTGTTTCGGTGCGCGTTGTTGTGGAGTTACTGGACTCTGGCCGTGACTGATCATAGGCGGTTTCAGCTGTTAATGTTGTATAACTAGCAACGCGTGTGGACTTGCTCTGCGTTGCGTCAAGCGGCTGTGCTTCCACTGGTTGGTGTTCGACGGCTAACTCAGAACTGACATGGACCAGAGGAATCTGAATCTCTAATTAAAACAAAGCATTGCGATGCACACTGGCCGGTTACGACGCAATGGGGTTTCTGCCTAGTGCTCTGAATGTCAAAGTGAAGAAATTCAAATATGCGCTGGTGAACGGCGGGAGTACCTATGAACCGTTATCCATATGTCGATTCCTGATACGGTACTGTTCGTGCGAAATGAAATTGTAACGAATGAAGAGCGCCGAGGCAATTTCCGTTTCTGCTGGGATAGTGGCACTGGCCATATAGTGCGTCGGTGGCACAGTGGTTAGAACTCTCGCCGACCATGCACATGGTCCGAGGTTCGAGCCCCTGCCGACGCACACCCGATATCTATGGTCGGCCTGCGAAATTTGGGCTACCAATATCCATGCTGAAAATGCCATACTTGTACTGAAAATACGGCGTGGCATCAAGCTGTAAGCAAAATAAAATAAAAAAATATGACTGGTGTCATGAATACTTAATTTTTATCCAGTTTCGCTTTGGTGAATGGAATTCGTGACGAAGATCATTTGGTCCTTACCTGGTGTGCAAACTCCTTACTTAATAACGGGCAGTGTATTTTATGATTCACATATGGCATATATGCATATATACAATGCTGCTGTCCCAGTATCCTGATCCAGGGAAGGCTGTAGAAGGAAAAGAATGAAAACACTAGAAAATCCCAGGAGTTGAGAAGTAACGAAAGAGATGGACTGTCGTACGCATAGTTCCTAGTATTATCAAATGCACAAGGGAAGTTGGTCTAGAGCCACTTAACGAGTTATGATTAGAACCTGCATAGAAAAGAAGGAAATGTGATATGGAAGAGTTAGGACAAGTTAATCAAATAAACAGAGAGCTGTTTGACAAGTAGACGATTGTGGTGTATGCTGTTCACGAGTTCTTGTTTGCAGCACACTCAGCAATGTGTGTTACCAAAGATAATGTTCGGGTAGCTTGTACACATGTAAGAATAACCGATAGTTTACTTTTATGGCAAGCTTCTAGAGGGGTCAACTAAGGCATACTTAACCATTTTCAACTGTTTAAAAAGTAGTTGGAGGACAGTTTTTATTTATGCTAACAGATATGAACCTAACTAGTTTTTATAGGCGTTTAGCAAAGTCATCCAGTGATAAAAATTCACCCTTGAGTTGGATAACTATCCGAAATTCCCTTTCTTGACTTTTGACTGACAATATCAGCCGACAGAATGTTAAGGAGATCTATCAACGGAAAACATGCGTGATTTGTTCAAACAGAATTTATCTGTTTCCTGTTGGAATCGTAGCGTTTCAGTCGCAAGGCAAACATACCACCAAAGTGTTATGTGATTAAGAAATGTGGCGGATGTACGAATGAAATCACGTGATAAATTCCAAATGACTGCTCTCAGTTGAAATTTATGTTTCAGTTATGTTATTTCGAGAACATGTCGAGTATTGTGTGCGTCGGTGGCACAGTGGTTAGATCGCCTGCCGACGCATACCTGATATCAATGGTTGGCCTGCAAAATTTGGGCTACGGATATCACATGCTGAAAATTCCATACTTGTACCAAAAATACTGTGTGGAATCAAGCTATAATAAAAAATATATTTGTAGTAAATATCCTCGGCGATCAGCTAGCTCAACTGCCAGCTGAAACGCATTTCACATTTGGATAAATTCTGGGAAAGTCATTTGGGGGCTTTCCGGTCGCTTCAATCAGATGGTTTCCAGTGATTCTGACAGTTGTATCAGATTCATTAAGATATAAACTAACGGGATTTCGGCATCTCCCTGGCCTGTTCTATGATCTGAGAGGTTCTTGCTTCTCCCAGATTCAGATTAGGTGTTTCACACTTATCTACTAGCATTTTTGTCGGCTCACCCAAAATGTGAGTACTCTGAAAAGTATAATTCGGTGAGGGTTTACGTTCCTTGGGATGCGTACTGAAATTTAACGTAAGATGTTGACAAAAACTGCTGATTCGCTTGTAATTTGCTAAGATGGTTATTTTCGTCCGGACTGGTCATCTTAATGTTTTTAGAATGACATAGCTTAGTCTTCTTCGTGCAAGACGTTGTAACTAAAGCAATTTAAAGGCCATGAATAAACACTATTAATGTTTAGGAACGGAATGCCTAGAGGTAACAGGCGTTTTAGCGTATGCCAAAGATTCAGGTATGGAAACATGAAAAAAAGCACTTAAACCCAAATACGGGAACCAGTCATTTTGCTCACGGATTTACAGAAATGACTGACTCATAGTGGCATGAAGATTTTAAGGCATCGGGCTCATGGAGGGGTTATGCGTGACATTATCAGGGACAGAAAGTGTTCTGGTTAAATCAACTAGCCTATGATGACTTCCATCTGCCTGCAATTTATTATATCACGTCCCGAAGGACTGCGGACAAAGTTAATTGCCTAGACCAACAAATTAAGGCTTTGGACACTGCATTGAGATCAATCAAATTTAAGGACACTTAATGTTGATAGTAAAGCAAATAATTCAGTGAATTACTAGCCGGGTGACAGACAGATCAAATGTAATATATCAAAATCGTCAGAATCTGATTGCTACAAAAGTTCATGAATGGACGTTGGTAAAAGTTTGGGGTCCTCTTTAGGGAATTCCGAAATAATTCATGGTCAGTGCTGTCGAAGGCCTTTTAATAACCGATGAATTTCGAGTAGACATTTTAGTGCTTATTGTGTTCTGCTCAATGGTAGTGAGTAGGGCTGCAATCTGATCTGCTTATGATTTATTTCCCTTCAATCCACACTATTACAAATAAAGTCTTCCACCCAAGACAACTTTATGTTTCCTTTAGGTTAGGTGGCCTAAAATTTCGCTTCGAGCGGACAGGCGTTTGATTCCTTATCAACATTTGCATAAGCTTAGGTCGCTTTGATTGTCAGTTTGACAAGAGAGCCTTTCTCCTAACCAGTAAACGCCTTTCCTTTCATTCAAATCTTTACATGTCCTCTGAAATATCGGATTCATTTCTTATGCTTTAAAGATGCTTTAGTCGAAGTGTGGGAGTTAACTCGCACTTCTGTGTACACTGTTGGTATTTCTCGACGAGCTGTAATTGCAACGTGGAAATCTTCTAAGGTTTTTTAAAAAAACCACCTGATTACTGAAAATCATGATGGTGGCTATATTGGTGTCCATGAGGAATATTACACAATATTGGACTTCGTATATTTGCTCACTTATGTGCCGTTGGTTGAAGGTTGACCTCAAGGTCAAGGTCTCCGCTAAAAGCTGTCGCTAGGTTGCCAAATGATGAAATGAGTAATCAGTGCTATGGCTAAGGCCAGTCACGTAACTTTAAGACTCTGGCCGAGGGCAGAGCCTTTCACTTATGGGATTTTTCAAGTTCACCCTCATCCAAGACTTGCTGTCCATGTAAATCCACTTCGATAGTATTATAATGCTTGCTCTTAGAATATTAAGAAGCTTGTAACTTATGCGAAGACGAAAAATAAGGCCGTGTCACGATTGAGGTAATGCTCTTATCAGTTATTAGATACGAGTAAATTTGCCCATAGTTATTCTGTATGGAAGCATGTTGCATGTAATAAACTCCAACTTACTGAGGATTTGGCATGGGTGTACGTTGTAGTTCAGTTTGAATGACTATTTAGCCTGTTTCATACTTGTCTTACTATGTCAGCAACACACTTTGAAAAACTGAAGGAAGTTGATGAGCGGATATTTAATGCAGGAAGTTCAATGGATGCTGGTAGCTGCAAATTATTATTTTTACGTATTTTACAGAAAAGATTCGTGGCTCTCAGTCCATCGAATTGTTCACTTTTGTCCTATTTCTGTATATACAACAAATCAACAGAATATCTCTACGAGCATCAGCTGTTTCGGCTAGTGCTGAGTTAGTTTTGATGCAAATATATTTATTATACGTAGATGGCCCGGTAGCTATAATCGTTCTTCTGAACTGGATTCAGGTCGTTCAACTCCAATTAGACTGTGTCGCGTAAATCTGTAAACAGAAGTTTCATTTTTTAGAACTTAGATGAGCAGTATCATATGCAGTTTATCAGTGAGAATTTGAACGAAATACTCGATCTTCTTGTTGAACCTGGTAATTCTTAATTTTCAAGTTTTTTCAGTTTCATATGTCAAAGACTTTTTGAGTTTAAGAGGTATTCAGAAATGTTTGAATGTGTTGGCTTCTTAGGAAATATGTTAATAAGTGAATAATCTGCCAATCAAGCAAACATCAAGTTACTCAAATAAAAATTTTGAAGGCAATTTCAGGGTTTTTTTGGGGGGGGGGGATGATGCATATACTCAAAATTCTTTCAGTGAGTTGCCCTAAAAACCTCGAAATCGCCTTCAACATATTTCTATACGTGTAACTCCCCTAGAGTTAAATATTTGCTACCTTAAAGTGGTATTTTTTTGTTGTAAGAATTGGGGATGTTGCCCACCTTGTTATCCTTTAAGGGATAATTAATTAGTGAGAATTGTTTGATCCTCTTTACTGAGGACTCAGTCTCCTGTCGTGTATGCGTATAGTAGCATTTCTATCCATTGAAGGATTGCTTAATCATACATATAATTTGGTTTGGTTGTTCTTCCAACATGAATTTTCATCAACCTTATTCTTGATATTGACTGTAGTGTATCCTCCTGAAAAGTGGGATTTCTGAGGATTCCACTAGCATTTATAGTGAATGTATTTGCATGATCTTAAGGAAAGTACCTCATTTATTTTCCCTATGTTGACACATGTCTCCTTCTCTTAGGCTGCTAATTAAAGGTCCTGAATTTGGTTCGGTTATTTTCACTGCTATTTGTCGCGTGCACAGCCCCGTTCTATATGAAAGAACATTGCAGTAGTAAATAAGGGGTAGTTTGTGTCATACTAAGTAATTGTTCCCCAATTTTAAGACAAGACAAAAAACTCAATGAATACACTTCTCAGAAGTAATAAGTAGGTACATTGTGAAATTAAAAAAATATTGGTGCTGGTGATGCTTCTTGCAATTTGTCTACTAGTTAAAATCAATGAAATGTAGAATATGTAGAGATAGACTGCAGGTATATCTGTGGTTTATTCATCAAACTTTTGACCTAGTGGATTGTTTGCACCATAAGAGTTACAGTTTATATTCCGAATTATACTAAGCTTTATTTATATTTGTAATTGTACTATTAGAATACTAATAAGTCTATCCTAAGGATTATTGAAGTAGATATATTAACTGTATTTTCAAGGTAATGAGGTTTTAGTAGTTGTTAATTATTCTCTAAAAAGAAGCAAGCTGCATTCAAATAATATCTGCGTTCTGGTTACTTTGGGATGCTGCAGTTACTGTAAGGTTTCGTATCGGGGCTAATTTGAAAGTTATGAATGAGTCTAATCAGTGTTTTCGACATCACTGTTTCTCATTTTTCAAAAGGGGCTAAAATTTTATTGCAGTTTCGTAATGTCACATAGGTCTGATAAGTGTCTGAAAGTACTTTTTTTCACGAAAATTCCCCTTACAAAATATTCTTTGGGGTTTGAGATACGATTTCAAATTTGTAAATGCGAAAATCCAACAGATCGTATGCTTCTTTACGAAAAAATTTCTATTTTTACTGTCTGTAAGGTATTTCTCTGAAAAGTATTTGACAGTAGTATTCAGTTGATTCTTTTAAAGTAATAAACATCGTTAGGTTCGTTTGAATTGATTTTTGTAGCTGTTTTGCAGCCATTTTATCTGCTCCTTTCTCGTTCTCGACTTGAAAGATAAGAGAACTTTGGTTTAGTTCTTGATTTCCTATCGGGCTTTTCGTTGTTTTTATATTACATAGCAAAATGGCAGTTCTTGATTGCCTATTTTGTGAAATATGCTACATATTTACATGGCAGTTTTCATGCTTCCCCTAGATAACCACGGTGGAAACAGTATGGATGCAACTTTGTCAGAAGATGCTATTGAAGCCCTAAACCTTATTTTAGAGGGATCAGCTGATCAAGGAAGGTGAGGGTATTTTCTACCAATTATATCACTATCTGTTTACAGGACAATTAGTTCTTTTTCAGAATTGGTGCACATGCCAACAATTCTACCAGCAACTGGTTATTCGAAGGTATTTTCTATCTTTTTATGTGTCATTTAAGTAATCGTAATGGTTTGTTCTGTATTCGACCTGATCTGATAATACGTGTAATTTTGCATTGCTGTCTCAGCAGACTGAAGTGATCAACCTCTGTTGGCAAATGTGATGTTTGTACAGCTATTTAAGTAATTTCGCTGGTGTTCGGTAGTGACTCTTCGTTAAGTTTAAGATGCATATTTTATTCTGGTAGTCTTACATGTTAAATGTTAACAGTTGCTTACGCAAAATAATTCTCTAGTGCATACCTTCTTGATATCAATCTTGCCTAATGAATTTCTTTAGTAATATGCTGCACCGAATCAATGCAGAACTTATATGCAAACACTAATGCATTGATACAGACAGTAGCTATGCTAACACCCACTTTATTTTGATGATCGTACTAGTGGTTTAATGGTGAATAATTAACACAATTCTGTGGGTTTAGCTCCGTCAATTTTTCTTTACTGCAAAATGAATCGTGTTGTTGAGTGAGACAATCTGTCTGATATTGGAGCCGTGTTTTTCTAAATTTCCCATTTGTTGATCTTCATTAAAATCCCCTAAGTTATCATCAATTAATTTACTACAATTATAATCATATGAGTTGGTTTAAACTTTCTGTTAAAGGTTACACGTGCTTTTCATTTACGTGGTCTTCATTCTTGGATTCGTTCATGGTTAGCACAAAATCCTTTTTCTGTTGAAAATTGTATCCGAAACGGTCGACGCTTACAATGGCGTCTTCCTCATCAAGTTGTTTTAGATCATGGTGCTGGTTTAAACAGTAGTCAACAGCAGCAAATGCAAAACGATATTATGAAGCGTCAAAAGATAGTTACAAATGCTCATCAAGTTCCAAGGACTGGATCTCATAGTGGGTAAGTTAGTCAACTCTTCTGTTTAATGATTATTGCATGAATTTTTATTTCCACTTGAAAAGTAAACAGACTTTTTGCATGAAATTTAGTTTGGGTTTTTCCGTAATAAAAATTTTTATTTGATTAACAGAGCAAGTTTTGATTATTGATACCTCAACTAGAGATCGTCACTATGCTTTATTTGACTCGGAATTTTGTTTACCCATCCACTTAATCACTACACAACTTGTGTTTGACTCTACGGTAACCATATATAATTTTTGTCTTTAGTTTCGCATCAGGTGAGGTAGTTGATGTGTAATGTACCTCTGTGAAATCACTTATTGTAAGTTGACCGATTAACCCTTGTTTTAAGTATCATAGTTTTTGTGGCGTAACACTTTTGATGTTTTGTTTTTATATACAGAAAGTGTTACATGTTTTTATAGTTCATTTGCCTAATAGTATCGATTGCCTTTAGCTACTTTTGTGTTTTTAAGTCTCTTGTATATTTAGGCCGTTACACTATCTATTGTCAGATTCTTTGATATAGACTTCCTTTGATTATCATAGGTGTCACCATGCTGAGTTATACAGTGTTGGTTTATTGTTACAGGAACTTGATAATCGCCTTGCAAGTTTAGCCTTTTTTTCATATAAACAACTAAGTAGTTTCACTAGTTATCTGTCACACGATAGTTCACAGTCTTGGGAGTGTACTTGTAAGTAATTATTGAGCTACGCCTACAAACTTCATGAATAGGTTATTCAAATATTTTAGTTAAGTTTATGTTTGTATGTTTTACTTCTCTCATTGCAGGAACAAGTTGGTTGTCATGTCGATGATTTCTCGTCAAATTATTGCACGCGTAAGTGAGTGTTCACTATTGCTGTTATTCTTTATTAACTAACTCTTTCGTGAGTGTCAGTCAATCGCAGTTTTAATCAGATGCATTGACTGTCTAATGTTTATACTATGCCATTTGTATGGTAGATTTTACTTGTCAACATAAATTTGTTCATTCTGTTTGTTATGTGGCGTCTTATTTAAGCCTAAACTCTTAGCAGCTTTGATCCGTAAATATATATTAGGCGGTGGTGTCATAGTTAATAATCGGAATATGGGTTTATCATGTGTAAGTTATCGCTAGCTGAGTGGACATTCTTGGTTTCTTCGAGTTTATCATTAGATTACACACTTGAGTAAAATATACGTTAGGAATGTATTAAGGTATTTCAAGTCAATCTACAGTGTGAATTTATAACCTGTATGTGTCGTTGGTATTTTAAGGCAATTTAAATTGATGTACTGTTTTCACTGTCCTTCGCTGGTTAGTTTGACCTTATAAGGCGATACTAAAGTGGATTAATCAGACACCATTAATGAATTACACTCATTATCATCTACAACATACTTTCGTAAGACTAACAACAAAAGCCCCCATGTCCACAGGTGAATCATTGGAACGAGAAGGAAGATTCGTGTATTTAAGTGGCTGTGGGAGTGCTTGTAAAGGCGTAGCTGACGAAAATTTTATTAGTATGTTGAAGGTTAGAGCCAGATGCGTCAATCTATATTTCTTTTGACACCATTGTGACGTGAGTGTTCAAATAAGTTGCAGGTTGAATTACGGTAGGTTATTGCATCTAGAGACGTGGAATTTGGTGGTTTGGATGTGTGACTTTCACACGAATCATTGTTTGATTTCTCAGGGAGGAGAAGGATGGTTAGAGTATAATACCTTCATAAGAATAAATTTAATTGTTTTCAGTTAGTATTTGTTGATGCATCGTGACTCTCTGAATGGGTTTTGAGGGGATCATTCAATGAATAAGTAGCTTGAAATATTGTCATATATAAGTAAAGACCAAAATCGTTGGGAATCATACTGCAGATATATATTTTTTCTTCTGCTATCTAAAACATCTCAAAGTAATAATTGATCCCTTAATTTTACTTAGTGGGAATGCTTTTTTGCTCATTTTGTAATCCTTTATGTTATTGTTAAATTGCTTTGTGTAAGCTATTTCATTGTGTCCATTCCTTATCAAGTACGTATTGAAGTAATTATTATAATAACGATAAACTTACAGTTTCCTAAAAACTTGTTAATCTTTTTTTAGAGTTCTGCTACACTTGATGGGGCTACACTTAAGATACATCGTGCTCACTGCAGTTATCTGTATCTACTATCTCCTATGAGGTTTGTTTATTAACTGTATTGTTTAGAAGTGACCTTAGATCCCTTTTTGTTTTTCATTTAGTTGTCAAAATTTGTGTTCTTATTCCTTATTACAATGGACATTCTGGTTGGAAATGCAGCAGTTGTTTTCCCCTTTATACTTATTAGCAGATAAGATTGATGCTTGACGTTACTAATAAGGTATTTTACACTGAAGCGCTGTCAGTATTTTTTTTCAAATGATAGAGGTTAAACAATGTGAAATAGACTTAGCTGGACTTATGGTAAATAAACCTACTCGTTTTATAGCAATATATAGCGTAGCGATTTTAAAATAAGACTGGAGCATTTTAGCTTTGAACCATTCTGAGAGAAGTTAGACAATAGCGTCCCAAGGGTGCGAACGCTCCCATGACCTGAAACGCATGCTAGTCATTGGCTAACAGCTAAAATATGAACTCTGTTCACTAACTAGGCGGCGAATTTCAACCAGATCACGTTTTAAATTACTATTTGGACAGTGTGATAATAGCTCGTCAGGTTTAGGATCAGGGTTATAATTAGGATTACGGTTAGGATAAGGGTTATAATTAGGGTTAGGGTTACAATTACGGATGGTTTTAGAGTTGGTATTATTTATTTTGATTTGTTTTATTATCCACATTTTCCTGGTAAGTAGTCATCGACCCTCTTACTGGAAATCATAGTAATTCAACTGAAGGCTTTTGAGGAAGACAGCAAAACAGGATGAGAGTGATAAATGGGTCACACAGAGAAGCTCATCTTCAGTCACCCCGGTGAATACACATGTAGGGACACTGGTCTAACTTAAAAACTGATACTCCTCATTATAACTGGGACGTATTTTTAAGGCATGTCAGAGAAAGATGCCCTGTTTAATGTGTTTTCATGCATTTTCTTGTAAATAAACGTCATTTTTTGTGCAAAAATCACTTATTTTTATGGTTGGTCGGCTCAAGGTCACTCGTGCCTTCGCATACCTTGTTTAACCTTGCCCCATTCTGCTCCGCGAATTGTCCTACATTACATGTTAAATTCAAACGTATGCATTCATGATCAGTGAATAACAATCTATTTATTATAAAGGTGTAGCATCATTTCGTTGTTAGAGTATACTCTGTCTTCGGTGTTTTTTAAATGAATACATTCAACTTCAAGGACCAGACGAACAGTCAGCGACCATATATAGATTTGTATCATATTTTGGCATAACTCACTACCTCCTTGTGAATTTGTCTTTTGCATATACTGTTACGTTTAACTGCAAAACAATTACTGTGTAGTTGAAATTCACACGAGTAGTGGTACAAAGGGATTTTTGTTTATTCTGCTATCTTATCTCAAGTATATAATAATACATACATGTAATTCTAAGTGGCATACTTTAGTGAACTAACTTCTTCAGTCTCATTGGGAATACAAATTGTTAATAAATACGTCTCACTCAGTGTTTTTCCTTTATTTCTTTTCATGTTTTCCGAAGTTCTATTCATCTGGTATTTGTGTTTGAATCCAAAAACCGTATATTCCTTGGTGCTGTCACATATTTTAATTATATTCAGTCAGTAAGTTTATTAGATTGTTTGGTTTTACATGCAAATCATTATTATAGTATGCGTTTGCTTGCTGTTCAAATTAGTACAAATATTTATTACCGTTAAATATGTTTTGTAGATCAGTTACTCTAGATAAGTGTCGTAAGCTGACTATTGTTCTGGGACCGATTGAAAACACTCTTCAGCTTAACCAATGTGAAGACTGTTTGATTATCTCAGCTTGCCGTCGGGCTGTTCTAGCTTCTTGTCGTCGATGTACGCTGCATTTGGCTATTCAGTCTCGTCCAATATTAATTCAGCCTCCAGTTCCAAACACTAGCAGTACAGCTGTGGTTGGTTCAAATATTTCAGGGACTATGACAGGTGCAAATACTCCAACGCCAGGAACGCCTACACCTGGTAGTGTAACATTAGTGGGTAATGAAGAAATCTTGTTAGCTCCTTTCCATACAACTTATATGCGATTGGTGGAGCACTTAAACAGAGTAAATCTCAGTCCGAAAGTCAATTACTGGGATCGCCCATTTTTACTAGGTAAGTATCTTTTGTATGACACCACTTACCTATATTGTAAAGAGGATAAGCTTATTATCGTGTATTTTGTTGTCCGTTTTGACCAAGTCAAATTATGATTGGTATTTACTCGGACCTGTATTTACAGATGAGATTAAAATTGTTAGTTATTTAACCTAGTACAATTATGTTTAACCTCCTACTTGTTATCCTTATAAAACAGTCTTGGTACAGGCTTAACACAAAGAAGGACCATCTTTAGCCTACCAAAACATGTGATGTTGAACCTCAAATGTTACTTACACAGCTTAGCCCTAATATGCAAGCAGTTCTGTAAAGACAGTGTCCTGTGTTCGAGTCCCACCTCATCTAATTCAGGTTAAGCAACTGGTTAGTGTCATCAGTCCTCGTACAATATGTGTGGTTCAAAGTATCGTACACGAAAAATCTGTTCTGGGTAACTGAATTCTGGCCAACCGTAAAGACAAAGGTGATGGAGTTTCACAGACGTACAACTAAACAACCCACTTTGAGGAGTCGTAAGTCGGACACGCATAGTAACACTATGGCGCTGAATATGGTCCAGACTGGTGTACGTTTCACTGTCTTCCATTACTCTACTAAAAAACCTTATTAATCATGCCTCTCAGCAATCAGTACAATGAGGTATAATTTATAAAGCTAGTTAAGTAATAGTAGGCGTACAACACCACTAAATACTATAAATTTTAGATGGTTTTCAATATGGAGTTCTGTAAAATGAGTCATCTGAGACTAGGATTTTATGGATAAGAGATTTTTGAATGAGCACCACAAGAATGTAGAATATTACTGTCTATATTTTGGTTATCTGAACGTGTCAGTGAGATCACTAATTGATATAGCTCATAGGCGGTTGCTGTGGCTCAGGTTAATCCGTGTCTTATTTTTGTATTAACTGTAATATAACAGTACTACTTCGTTTGTTTTATAGCTTTCTTTTAAAATTTTCGTTTGTATGTTTAAAAAAAAGTATTTTTGTCATTTCTGTCCATTGTGTTTATATTCTTTAATTAACGGTGAGTATAGACTCTACATATTGGTAAGTTGGCTAGTAAAACATTTTACCGCCGTATTTCTTAAATGAGTACTTAATGAAAACAGCTGCTTTTACCAGACAGACAATATTACTGAATACAACTGGACCCCTGTTACAAGCATTAGGAGAAACTGATATCATCTTATATTTCTAAAGAGAAAATAGGTGTTCATGTGTAAAATGAAAGAGGTTAGGTTTTGTTTGGTGGTTATTTTTAAAAATAGATATCTGTTACAGAGTTCAATGTATCTGAAAACGCAAAAGAGGGTTGTGGACTCTTCATTTGTGAGTAGTATTTAGTTATAGTAATAGGTGTAATATGCACCAACTATTTATTTCCCGTATTTCTGGAATTTTTAATATAAAAAGCGAAATTTACAAGCGAAAACAGACAAACTAGTCGAAGAAGCAGCAAAGACAGGACTCCAGGTGAACATAGACAAGACGGAGGTTATGAAAATAACCAACCAACAACAGCAACATCCAGAGCCAATCACCATCAACGGGAGGGATTTGAAAGAGGTTACTTCATTCACTTATCTAGGGAGCATTGTCTCAACTACAGGAGGAACGGACGAAGATGTCAAGTCGACAATCGGGAAGGCGAGAAACACATTCATCAACCTGAAACCAATCTGGAAATCTTCGTCACTCAGCATCAACAACAAAATTCGAATTTTCAATACAAACGTCAAGTCAGTTCTTCTATACAGATCAGAAACTTGGCGGGTCACCAAGAATATTTCCAACAGCCTGTTGCAGACCTTTATCAACAACTGTCTTCGCTGGCTCTATACTGAAGATCAGATGGCCGGAAAGAATCACCAACAAGGAACTATGGGAACAAACAAAACAAGAACCAATCGTTCAACAAATATGCAGGAGAAAGTGGAGATGGATTGGACACTCGCTGAGAAGGCCGCTGGGTGACATCGCGTGCCAGGCCATTGCTCGAGTGGAACCCAAAAGGGAAGCGGCGAATGGTTCGTCGGTGCAAGGGTGACATGGAGGAGATCGTGTGAAGAGGAGCTGAAACAGTATGGATTAACATGGATGCAGGTGAAAAGTACAGCAGAAGACAGAAGCAAGTGGAGACATGCAGTTGAAGCCCTATGTTCCACTAGGAACCCAAGGGAACAATAACAATAATAATAATCTATTTTCCGTAAATCTTAATGCTTAGACACCTTTTCATATTTTATACAGTAACTCAGTTGTAATTTCTTCCAGATTTTTGCCTTCATTTTACGACTAAAAACGATTAGTAATTTGTTACTTGCATTATGTCCGTAAATATTCGCATACAAATATCAGCTCCCAAATTTGGTTAACGAGCTCGTATTAATAAACCCAACTTCTTTGTAGGACAGGATTCCAGTCGACATGATTCATCTCAACAACCATCTGGAGGAAGTCGGTGCTGGGATCTTTTACAACCTGCTCATTTTTATCCGTTTAACATACCCCTTTTAATATCGGCTCGTGGTGAAAGTGTTGATCGTAACACAGTGGGTGGAGATTATTCTCACATTGGAGATGCCAATCCTCGTACCAATCCTTCCGCCGCAAACTCTTTAGACTTAAGTGCATTGCTTATAACTGATACTGCAAAATATTTTGGAGATTCAGATGAAAGACGTTTAGAAAATTATATTTCAATGGCTAATAGTGTTTTGCCAATTCCATTGCCTACTGCTTATCTGATTGCTTTGCGTGAACGAGCTGCGATCTATCAAAAGTGGCCTCAACATATCGCAGTAAGTTTAAATGTCGTTTATCATATTATTTCGTTATAGTAGAGTTCTGTTAATCATGAAGTTTGTAAAAAAATGAGTTATCTCACCAACAGGTTTTACGCAAGCTGAATAGTAATGAATGATTACACAATTCATGGTGTGATATATTTCCCTAATATTCAAATTCCCAATAATGATCAGCGTTTTGTTTCATTGTAGTGTTTGTTATTGGTCTTCTCTGTTATTTTTTAGAGTTTTGTGATTGACTGTTCCAAATGCGCACAGACAAGTTTTAGTTAAAATTACCGCCATGAATACTCCTAACTCGTCTCCAGAAATATGATTAAAGTGATTAAGTATTCCTTTAATTTTGGTAGGAAAAGACTGCCTATTATCACCAACAATGTCTGTGTTCTATCTCCCGTGTGAAGTGGTATAATAAGGTGAGCAATATTGAGGTTAGGCGTCGAGTGCTAGGTAAGGAGGGGAAATCAGTCGACGAGACTGTGAAATTACATCGACTGAGATGGTTAGAACATGTGTTACGTATGCCTAGTCATCGTCTTCCTCGACTGGCAATGTTAGCTGACATAGGGTCAGGCTGGAAAAGAGCTAGCAGCGGTCAAACGAAAACATGGCACCAGTCAATGAAATCTACGACAGTTAGTCTAAGCCACGTAGGAAGGTGTAGACTCCCTGGTTGGGGTCCTCGGGACGCTAAAAACCAATGGTTGGAGACAATCGGTGACATGGCTCAAAATAGTTCTCAATGGCTGGTGCAGATGCATCAACTCCTTGTGACTTATGATTTCCAATGAAACGGTTTTGTTCTTCGTTATTACTATTCCTTTGTCTCACACCTCTGTTTACTGTCTCTAATATGGAGTGTGGCGACTTGAACTGCCGCACATCGGTTCAAAGTTCTATATCGAAAACCGACCGACCAACAATGATATGGCAAATTTGGTGCACTGGGTTATGCGGATGACTTTGGGGATTGAGGACACAGGAAGACGCTGGACCACCGATAAGAAGATTCTAAAAGATCTGGATTTCTCGCATGGATGATTTCTGTTTAATGTCACACAAACTCGAAAACTTACAGGCGAAAACCAAAAAAACTGGCTGTAGAAGCAGCGGAGACAGGACGGAGATGATGAAGATAACCAACGAATGGCAACAGCAACAGCAAACAGCACCAATCACCATCAACGGGAGAGATTTTACAGAGGTCACTTTCTTCACTTATCTAGGAAGCAGTTTTTGGACCACAAACGGAACGTGTGAAGATGTCAAAGTCAGCAAGAATTGGAAAGGCAAGATACACCTTCATCAATCTGAAATCGGTTTGGAAATCTTCTGCAATCAGCCAGCATAAAGAACAAGATTCGGATTTTCAACACAAATGTGAAGTCAGTCAATTAGTTCTTCTATACGGGTCAGAAACTTGTCTCTGGCCTTACGAAAAGCTTTTGCAATAGGTTACAGACTCTTATCAACAAATGCCTTCGTTCCATAGTGGAGATCAAATGTCCAGAAAGGGTTAACAACAAGAAACTATGGGAACAAACTAAGCAAGAACCTATCGTTCAAGAAATATGTAGCTGAAAATGGAGATGGATTGAGCATACGCTTAGGAGACTGTCGAATGACATCGCACACCAGGCCCCATAACTGAAGTGGAACCCGAATGAGAAACGACGAGTGGATCATCCAAGTGTGACATGGAGGAGGAGATGAAAGATTATGGGTAATCGTGTGCCTAGTTGGAGAAGACAGCAGAAAACAGAAGAAAGTGGAGATGTGTTGTTGAAGCCCTATATTCCACTCGGAACCCAAGGAAACAATAAATGATAATAATTTGGGTAGATTTGTATTTTAGTTGGATTAATCTAAGATAGTGAATTTCAAAACATACTATAGTAAGTGATTCAAAAACAAATACTTCAGTTTCACGCATGCATATAAAAGATACTCGGTAACCGTTGGAAACTCAAAATCTAGTGTAACTTCCATCTCTTCAATAGATCCAGGGCTTGTATGAAGCCGTGAAACCATTTTTAGTAACTTGTGTCTTTGTTCAGTATTAGTCATATAAATGTCATTCTATCGAAAGATGTTATCCGAGGAAGCACTGTTTTCTATAAATTTCTTTTGTCTGGAGACTGTTTAAAATGAGATGTGATTATAATAATAATAATGATAATGACTGACTGGTTTCAGCGTAGAACTTTGCACAGATGTGCAGCAGTTCAAGTTGCCATCCCCCCTCTTTATCGGATACAAAGCAAGAGAAGGGAGTAAAGAGAGATTCAAGAGAGAGATAATAAACAGAAGTGGGGAAGAACAATAGAATTTTATTGGATATTATACATTGCAAAGAGTGAATGCATCTGCACCAGGCCAGCCATTGAAAACGAAGATTTTGAGTCATATAACGAATTGTCTCCAGCCTTCATTGGTTTTTACCATCCTGCGGACCCTAACTAGGAAGTCTATACCTCCAGAGTAAGGAATATGATGTTAACGACACAACACATACTACTAATCATTATGAATACCATATAGTTGTGGTTGTCAGAGTGGGCTTAACCGAACCATCTTGAATCATCCGAATTCTTGCCAACTAATTGGGTGTACTTGTAATACATAGAGTCCACTTATTTGTTTACAAATTATGCATTTCGAAATTAAGGTTCCATTAGAGTTTCCTTCAGATATCCAAAATATTCACTCATAATATATAACCTGCTTGACATGAAGATTCATATCAAGATAGTTAGCAAACGTGCGTCCTAATTAATACCATTGATTAATGTGAATCGATCGGACAGTTTTAACTGAGTCAATCTGAGTATATTACTGGTGAGGGGTGGGCTTTAAGCAATTGAGTTCATATTACATCAATCTGACTAATTAATAATAGTACTTCCAAACTACATGTATCAATCAATGGTATGCATTGTGTTGAACTTATTCTCGCTTACTTGATATCATTTTCCGTATTGAACAGTTCATACGTTGTGATTTGAATATTCTGTACTTACAAAGAGAAATGTGGTGAAATTTTACTTCAAATTGTGTACTTTGCGAATTAACGGTTGTTTTCTGTGATATTGGTAGGTTTTACAGTTACACTCTCGAAGAATCTTTTTAAAAGGCTTATCTCTGAATGGTGTTGACATTTAGAAAGGTTGATTTTCATGTAAATTTATTATTAAATCAATTGCAACTAATTTTTTTTAGTCTTACGGTTGATCATAGATGTCTACGATCTCTTTCTCACGTTAGGTGGTATAATAAGGTAAGTAATGTTGACGTTAGGCGTAGAGTGTTGGGCAAAGAGGGAAAATCAATCGAAGAGGCTATGAAGTTGCATAGATTGAGATGGCTAGGTCACGTGCTGCGCATGCCTAACCATCGTCTCCCCCGACGGGAATTACTAGCTGATATAGGTGCAGGTTTGAAAGGAGTAAGTGGTGGCCAAACAAAAGCATGGCATCAATCCATGAAATCCTTGATAGTTAAACTGAGTCAAGTAGGGAGATGCAGACTTCCGGGTTGGGGCGCTCGGGACTCTAAGAATCAATGGCTGGAGACCATAGGTGACATGGCTCAAAATCGTTGTCAATGGCTTACGCAGATGTATTCAGTCTCTGTAATCTTTCATATTCCTTTCTACCATTACTCATTCTGTTTCACTCTTATACTTGTCAAAACTCTATTGATTCTCTTCACTCATTTTCTTGTCTACCTTTGTGTGCTATTTGGAACGTGGCAACTCGAACTGCTGCACTTCGGTGCCAAGTTCTATGTTGAATCCAGCCAGTCTTACGGTTGACTTTAACTAAACGTTACTTTTTTTTCTAACATTTTCACTGATAAAATTCTCTCACAGGTGTTTTTCCACTTTATTTCTTTTTTTCAGAATGCCAAACTAACTCTTGACCAACGTCATATTTTTGGTACTGTTGTGGATCAGAGATTTCGTCAGTGGTTAATGGAATCAGGCAATCTACGTCAACTGCAACTGTTAGAGTTAAGTACAGGTCATGTAAATAAGCTACAGTCTTCCAATGCTACTGTTAATTCGGTCACCGCGAATGGTAATACTTTACCTGTGGGTTCTGTTACACCGCAAGGTGGTAATACAGATCGTGGCTCTCATGCAGTTCGTAGTTCTCATACAAGTAGTCGTTCGAGTAATGTGATTCCTATTCGAAGTGATCGTTTACGCAATTATTCCAATAATGCAAATGAGTTTAATGATAATGATGATGATGATGGTGGCTACGAAGACGATATTTGATGATATAATGGAGTGTTACTTAATTCCACAAGTGCTCTACATATCATTATGACTTTTTTCTGCTGTGTACTTATGTAAGAAGGATAATAAATACTGTTGCAATGCTTAATTTCAACTGTGATCATTTATTATATACTAGCGTCGTAATGTGGGGTTAAGTATATAACACTCTCCACTCACAACGTTGACAAAAACAATAGATTTTTTGTTTTGTGTTATTTATTCTCTGATATCTCGTCTCCATGTATCCGGTTATTTTTATTTGAATTTTTGTAAATCAATGTATTAATTAAAAAAAAATATGTTACCGGTAATGGAATTGACTTCTTGCCTCGTAAAAAGCTGCTTATGTTTAAGAAAAGTTTAATTTTAGTTATGTAGTACATACTACTGATAATTGAATTTAAGTAGCTGTATGACATTGTTATTCACTTTACCATAATTCGTAGTGTGTGACTTATATGAGCTTATTATGAATTGGTTAGCTGTATCCTTAGAATTCCCTGCAAGTCCCTTATTATAGAAGCTTATTTTTATTTTGACATGCACTGATATTGATAGTCTCTTGTTCTTCGGCTTTGGGTTTTTCTAAGAAGACAGTAGTTTGGCAGTAGTTTTTGGCGTCATCGTCGATGCTGCTTTGTCAAGAAATCACTGTCATTCAAAGTATAATCTTGAATGGCGATCTCATATCTAATGTTATCATATATTTAGAATATTTATATACATTTAGATTGTTAAATTTTGCATACCGAACTGAAAACTCATGATAGTGTGTTCTGCTTATCCAGCTAAATCGTTTACCATGCTTAACAATAATCACGCTTATCCATTTACTGTATTATTATTATTATTGTATCCTTTAATTCCTAGAGGAACATAGGGCTTCAGCCGTGCGTCTCCATTGCGTTCGGTTCTCTGCTAGAGTCTTCACCTGGCTCCAAGTCTGCCCACACGTTTTCATCTCCTCTTCACATGACCTCCTCCAAGTCACCCTTGCACTGACGACCAACTCGCCGCTTCCCTTTCGGGTTCCACTCGAGCGGCTTGTCTAGTGATGTCACTTGATGGTTTCCTCAGAGTATGGCCAGCCAATCCATCTCCATTTCTTCCTGCCTATTTGTTTCACAATCGGTTCCTGGTTGGTTCGTTCCCAAAGATCCCTGTTGCTGATCTTTTCTGGCCGGCCATCTGATCTTGAGTATTTGAGCGAAGACAACTGTTAATGAAGGTCTGTAGTTTGTTTGAGATGCTCTTTATGACGCGCCAAGTCTCTGATCCGTATAGTAGCACTGACTGACTTCACATTGGAGTTGAAAATCCGGATCTTATTTTTGATGCTGAGTGTTGTTGACCTCCACACAGACTTGAGAGTAGTGAAAGCTTGTCTTGCTTTTCCGATTCTTGCTTTGATATCCTCGTCAGTTCCGTCCGCCTGTAGTTGAAACGATGCTTCCCAGGTAGGTAAAAGAGGTTGTTTCTTTCAGGTTCCTCCCATTTATGCTGATTGTTGTCAGTTGTTGTTGTTGCTGTTGGTGGTGTTGGCCAGGAATTTTCATCACCTCTGTTTTATCTATGTTCACCTGAAGTCCTATCTTCTTGGATGCTTCTTCTGCCAACTTGTTGCTTTTCGCTTGCATATCTTCCAGTTTGTGGGAAATCAGACATATATCATCGGCGAAGTCCAGATCCTCCAAGTTTTTTGTGTGTGTCCATTTTATGCCTGTTTCCTCATTGCCCACTGTTTGTCGCATTATCCAGTCTACTGCAATCAAGAAAATCATTGGCGATAGTAGGCAGCCTTGTCTTACTCCTGTCCTCACTTCGAAGGGTTCCGTAAGTTTCCCGTTGTGGATTACTTGGCATGCAGCATTGTCGTATAGCTGTTGGATGAGATGTATTATTGTCGGTGGCACCCCGTAGTAGCGAAGTAGTTTCCAAATCACCTCTCGATCGACGCTGTCAAAGGCCTTTTCAAAGTCGATGAAGTTGAGATAGAGAGGTGACTGCCATTCCAAGCTTTGTTCAATGATGATCCGTAATGTGGCGATCTGATCAATGCATGACTTGTTTCTCCTGAATCCAGCCTGTTCCGGTCGAAGTTTTTCATCCAGGGCATGTTTGATTCTCTCCAGGATGATGTGGCTTAGTATTTTGCTTGGGATGGACAGGAGCATAATTCCGCGCCAGTTCTTGCATTGACTTAGGTCTCCTTTCTTTGGTAGTTTGAATAAGTATCCTTTCTTCCAATCCTCGGGTACTTTGCCTTCTTTCCACACCTTCTCCAGTAGTGGCGTCATCAAGTCCGCTGTTGTCTCTGGGTCCGTTTTCAATGCTTCTGCTGGGATTCCATCTGGTCCTGCTGCTTTTCCAGCTTTTAGCATCTTGATTGCCTTCAGGACTTCTGATTTCGTCGGGGGGTTGGTGTTCACTGGTAGCTCTGTCTCCGTTGTTGGTATTGCTGGGCGCGTTGTAGGTGGTGGTCGATTTAGGAGTCTTTTGAAGTGTTCAGCCCAGTGTTTCCTTTGCTCCACTTCTTTGGTGAGTGACTTTCCATTGTCATCCTTCACCGGCTTGATTTGTGTCAAACGTTTGCCCGATAGGTACCTAGTAGTTTGGTAGAGTGTTGCGAGGTCTCCTTTGCCTGCAGCTTGTTCTGCCTCACTTGCCATGGTTTCATAGTACTTTCTTTTGTCTTCTCTGGCACTCTTCTTTACTCTTTTGTTCAGTGTCTTGTAGCTTGCATTCAAATCCTGTTTTTGTTGCTCATCGGTGCACTGGAGAATCTTTTGTTTCACCATCCCTCTCTCTTCTATTAGTTTCCAAGTGTCCGTAGTGAGCCATTGTTTGTCCTGTCTCTTCTTTCTGCCTAGAACTTCCATGCAGGTTTGACTCCACACTGTCTTCAAGTTGTTCCAGTGCTTTTCGACGCTGACCTCTTCGCCAGTGTTGATTTGTGTCTCGGCTTTGTCTTTTATACTTGCAGTGAAGATGTCCTTTGTGTCCTGGTCCTTCAGTTTTTGAGTGTTGAACTTGGCTTGTGGTCTATCTGCAGCTCCTGATTCTCTGAAAGCTTTTAATTTGATTTGGATTGTCCCTTGTACGAGATAGTGGTCTGAGCCAATGTCTGCTCCTCTTCTTACTTTTGTGTCCAGTAGGCTGCGCCTCCACTTCCTTGAGATTGAGATGAAGTCGATTTGGTTTTTGGTTCGCCCATCTGGTGACACCCATGTAGCCTTGTGGATATCCTTGTGTTTGTATACGCTGCCACCAATCACTAGTTCATTGAAGGCGCAGAAGTCGGCGAAGAGTTCTCCGTTTTCATTCATTTCTCCGAGAGCTTCTCTACCCATGATGAGTTCCCTTCCTGTGTTGTCTGATCCCAGTTTGGCGTTCATGTCTCCCATTAGTATTTTGATGTCACCAGCTGGAGTATTGTCCATTGTTGTCTGCAGTTGTCTGTAGAATTCTTCTTTCGTTTCGAGGTCTGCGTTGTTTGTCGGTGCATAGCATTGTATAATTGACACTTTCCTTCCTTTGGAGTTGAATCTGGCGGTTATTATCCTGGGCGAGATCGCCTCCCATTGCATCAGGGCCTTCGTTGCCGTTGGTGACATCATGATAGCCACGCCCTCGGTGTGCGAGTGGTTATCTTCTGGGTGACCGGAGTAGATCACTGACTCACCCGTTGACAATTTGGTGAGTCCATTCCCGTTCCATCTGCTTTCACATATTCCCAGTACTTGAATTCTGTATCTTTTCATTTCGTTTGCGATCTGGGCAGCTTTGCCAATCTCGTACATAGTACGGACATTCCATGTCCCCACAAAGACTTTTTCTTTTGTCTCAAGGAGATACATCGTGCTGAAGTTTCTGTAGCAGGTTTGTTTACAGGGTGGGGTTGCTAGCCTCACGCCTGAGAAGGGGAGTTGTTACATCAATTTATAATTTAGAGAGAAGCGACCTTGTGGGTTGCTCCCGTTAAAAACCAGGAAAACAGGGAATAAACAGGCAGAAAAACACCAGCACGGGAAAATAATTCACAACAAGAAGGGTAACAAGCGACAACAACAATAATAATATCACAGTCAATTACAGTTAACCAAAATGATACCAAAATCGTAGACTCACTGACTTGAGCCAACTTGAACATGTAAATCCATCAATATATATACAATTATAGGTATTAGTTAGTGTTAATCAAGCACAGAGTGGCAAATAGATAGTTATAGGTGTTATTGATATACAACATTATATCCAAAGATTCAGTGTTTCATGGTCAAATAATTGTAAAAGTTTTTCGCAACTTTGATAAGATATTCCACAAAAATCAGAGTTTTAAATAACTATGCAAATGCAAGTATAAAAGACAAAGCCGAGACACAAATCAACACTGGCGAAGAGGTCAGCGTCGAAAAGCACTGGAACAACTTGAAGACAGTGTGGAGTCAAACCTGCATGGAAGTTCTAGGCAGAAAGAAGAGACAGGACAAACAATGGCTCACTACGGACACTTGGAAACTAATAGAAGAGAGAGGGATGGTGAAACAAAAGATTCTTCAGTGCACCGATGAGCAACAAAAACAGGATTTGAATGCAAGCTACAAGACACTGAACAAAAGAGTAAAGAAGAGTGCCAGAGAAGACAAAAGAAAGTACTATGAAACCATGGCAAGTGAGGCAGAACAAGCTGCAGGCAAAGGAGACCTCGCAACACTCTACCAAACTACTAGGTACCTATCGGGAAAACGTTCGACACAAATCAAGCCGGTGAAAGATGACACTCATCAAAGAAGTGGAGCAAAGGAAACACTGGGCTGAACACTTCAAAAGACTCCTAAATCGACCACCACCTACAACGCGCCTAGCAATACCAACAACGGAGACAGAGCTACCAGTGAACACCAACCCCCCGACGAAATCAGAAGTCCTGAAGGCAATCAAGATGCTAAAAGCTGGAAAAGCAGCAGGACCAGATGGAATCCCAGCAGAAGCATTGA